ATCAAAAGGAGTTTAGTCGCCCCTTTTCTGATTAACGCATTTCCTACAAAAGCAGAAACGACTCATAATGTGCTCAAATGGATCTGCTGAGAAGTTACCTGCGCAGGCATAAAAACCAGCTCTTCTACCCTGAAGCAAAAATGGAAGAGGGACGGGGATGATTAAGTTGTTGGGCGTAACCAAATAAATCCAGAACAAATCGCTTTTCTTAGTCAGAAAAGGTGTACCCAGACGCCTCCTGATCTTTTTTTTATTTTATTTTATCCCTTTGAAAGTGAACAAAGAATGGATTCTTTTGAAGAATTGGCGTCGGTTGGATAATGGAAAACTCACTATAGTACTAGCGGTGGTTTTTATCCTGGAAAGAAATGAGGGTGCAGGTGTAGTAGTAGTAGTAGTAGTAGTAGTAGTAGTAGTAGTAGTAGTAGTGGTGGTGGTAATAATAATAATAATAATAATAATAATAATAATAATAATAATAATAATAATAATAATAATAAAGTTGGAAGAGACCTTGGAGGTCATCTAGTCCAACCCCCTGCTCATGGAGGAAACCCTGCACCATTTCAGACAGATGGTTGTCCAGTCTCTTCTTAAAAACTTCCAGTGTTGGAGCATTCACCACTTCTGGAGGCAGATTGTTCCACTGGTTAATTGTTTTAACTGTCAGGAAGTTTCTCCTTAGTTCCAGGTTGCTTCATCTCCTTGGTTAGTTTCCACCTGTTGCTTCTTGTCCTGCCTTCAGGCGCTTTGGAGAATAGCTTGACTCCCTCTTCTTTGGGGCAAACCCTGAGATGCTGGAAGACAGCTATCATGTCCCCCCTTGTCCTTCTCTTCACTAGACTAGACATACCCAATTCCAGCGACCGTTCCTTATATGTTTTAGCCTCCAGTTTTTCCAAACGATGTCAAATGTGACGCATAAACCCAGCCTATTTTGGTGAAAATCTCCTTTTCCAGTTATCTCATCTGTTTGCATCTTATGCTCATGGTATCATCAGATGCTAGGGTGATCATGTATACCACTTAATAGATTACATTTCCATTTTTTCCTTTTCTGGTCTTCTGCTCTGGATGATTCGTTGTAATGGTGAAAGAGGACAAAAACCTGCATCCTCCAGACCATTCTTTGCACATGTGTTCCTTACTCATCCTTTCCTCCAAAAACTATCTGACGGGGTCATCTTCTCCAAGCCAAGCCTGATGCAGTAGACAAGGCCTAAGTAAACTTGGGTCGGCTTCTGCAATTTTCTGAAAAGAAGAAATTGCAACTGGGACTTTTCTAAATTTCTTCCCCTGCTTTTGAAAGGCGGTTCCAGGAAGCTGACGCCAGATTCCCGCCAAGCCCTGTGTCCTTGTGACTCCCTTGTTCACTTTGGGTTTCATCATTACCCACTTACACATGTTCCACGGACACACAGGTAGAGCAAGACTTGAAAACCCCGTGAGTTTTGTTCCTTAAAACGAATTAGGACTTTGACGGTGGTGGAAAAGAAGCTGGTTGCAAAATTACGTGCAAGGTCTTGAAGGACCTGGAAGCAGCTGATGTTTTACTGCCTAAAGTTTCCTCTGTTGCAAAACTTCCATTGCTAATCCCAAAAAAGTGGGGCTCCCTTGCTGAATCTTCTTCTCGGCCACATGTCAATAGGACATCCTCTTTCTCCTTCCTTCTGAGGTTTACTTCAGGTTGAGCAGACGAATGTGTCGTCTTTTTTTTTTTCTTTCTCCTGCAGAAAAAAGATGGGGAGGGGTTTTTTGGTTCAAATCTTTTGCTCTAGATCACTTTTCTCCTGGTAGTAGGAGAAAACGAGAGGGACAGTCCATCATTTCTACCGAAGGGGAGAAAAAAAATAGCTTCCTCCAGATGTGAAAGAGAAAAAAAAAAATTCTGCTGGCACACCCAGTGGACAGCTGTACTGCTGCGTTAACTCCTGGCTTGGGCCTCCTGCATCCAAGCTGGGCTCAATTTTTATTTTTTTTCTGCTCAGAGAAGCCAGGATTAGTTTGCAAGTTGCAGAAGTTTGCAACGGGACAAAGAGAAGCCTGTATGCAGGGCATCAAATCCACCGTACCAATTCAGTCCCTTTTTCAGCAAGGTAATAATAATTAATAATAATAATAATAATAATAATAATAATAATAATAATAATAATAATAATAATAATAATAATAATAATAAAAAGTTGGAAGGGACCTTGGAGGTCATCGAGTCCAACCCCCTGCTCAGGCAGAAACCCTACACCATTTCAGACAAATGGCTGTCCAGTCTCTTCTTAAAAACTTCCAGTGTTGGAGCGTTCACAGCTTCTGGAGGCAGGTTGTTCCACTGGTTAACTGTTCTAACTGTCAGGAAGTTTCTCCTTAGTTCTAGGTTGCTTCTCTCCTTGATTAGTTTCCATCCGCTGCTTCTTGTCCTGCCTTCAGGCGCCTTGGAGAATAGCTTGACTCCCTCTTCTTTGGGGCAGCCCCTGAGATACTGGAAGACTGCTATCCTGTCCCCCCTCGTCCTTCTCTTCGTTAAACTAGACATACCCAATTGCAGCAGCCGTTCCTTATATGTTTTAGCCTCCAGTCCCCTAATCATCTTTGTTGCTCTTCTCTGTACTCTTTCTAAAGAGTCTCAACATCTTTTTTACATCATGGTGACTAAAACTGGATGCAGTATTCCAAGTGTGGCCTTACCAAGGCATTGTATGATGTCTCAGTCCCACAAGAGTGGCTTATCTCCAGAACTGTGGGAGGAAGGAGAACTTCGATTTTAGAAGGATTTTGGAGCTAATCCTTGTCTGGAATCTCATAACTGTTTGTACCCCTGTTTCAGATGTTTTTATGGATTCCATTTGTCCGGGATGGTATAAGGTTTCCTGCCTTGTGCAGGGGTTGGACTAGAAGACCTCCAGGGTCCCTTCCAGCCCTATGATTCCATTGTACGTGACACAGGTTTTTAGATTACCCACGGTGTTCCGAGATTTTGCAGCTTGGAAAAATAGCTCCCAAAGGTAGCTTCTCCTTTTCCCCAGCTTGGGCTGGATCCCACCAAAATCGGGGAAAAAATTAACATTTCTAGCATTTACAATTGCAGAGATTCTCTGGACGTCATGTGAGCTTTGCATGCTGACCGAGTAAGCTTTTGTTTTGTCGGGATGAATTCCTCAGAGCAAAACCAAAGAATTTTCAAGAGGGGCAACTTTAAGATGTGTGGACTTCAGCTCCCAGGATTCCCCCAGCCTACAAATGGAGTCCTACACATCTTAAAGCAGGGGTCTTCAAACTTGGCTGAGGAATTCTGGGAGTTGAAGTCCACAAGTCATAAAAGGGCCAAGTTTGAAGACCCCTGTCTTAAAGTATGCTGCCTGGGGAATTCTGGGAGTTGAAGTCCACACATCTTAAACTGACCAAGTTTGAAAAACCCTGTCAAACTGCTCTCCCGATGAGGAACGAATGAGTATTAAGTTGAATCCTGCTTTTCTGTAGCTTAGCTCACTTGATGTGTATCTGGAATGACAGAGAGCAGATCTTGGTCAGACCTTTGATGTGGCCTAGATCAGGAAACAGACTCCATAGGAGGATTAGAACTAAGCTTTACTTGGGACTGTTCGGAACCGCTGAGGAACAAGAAAGCCAGAATTCTGGTCTGCTTCCAAAAGAAGGGTTGCGAGTTTCAGAGGTCAGGTGGTTGGTTCCACGTTCAGGGAATTTTGTGAATTTCCAGTAGTTGCCAAACGTCAGCCCCTGAAATTGTGGTGGAATTAATCCAGAGTTACAGGAGGAAGGGGCTCCTTCCCAGGGACCAAAGAGGCAGAGGATGTCTGGTGGGCAGGAAAAGAACAAGGTTGGACCCTCCCTAGCAGTTCCTGGAGTCTATCTATAGTTATTTCAGATGTAAATTGCTTCAGTTTGCCAAGATTCTGTCTGTAGGCAAGTAACAATAAAGGAACTACTCAGAAGTGACTCCTGCCATTCTTGGTTCGTTCCTGTCCTGACCACTTTCTACAGGGGGACGATCGAGAGCATCCTGTCATACAGCATCACGGTCTGGTTTGGAAGCATCCCTGCTTCAGATAGGAAGGCGGTGCAGAGAGTGGTGAGGACAGCAGAAAAGGTTATTGGCAGTTCCCTCCCTCCCATCCAGGACATAGCACAGAAGCGTTGCTTGTGCAGGGTCCGAAAGATTATCTGGGACACCACACATCCTCTTCACAACCTGTTTTCCTTGTTACCTTCTGGGAGGAGGGGGCTTTGCGGTATCCGTAGCAGAACATCCAGATTCAGCCATAGTTTCGTTCCATACAGCGTTAACCTTGTGAACGCTCCAGCTTCCTCCTTCCGTTACATATTCAAGCTGGTCAGTATTTAATATTTATTTGTTACTAGCTGTACCCGGCCACGCGTTGCTGTGGCTCAGTCTGGTGTTGCTTTTACGTCCAACAGATGGCGCTGATTTTCAAAAACATGTTTTTACCTGTCACAGGTGTGACGTCTATATAATAGTAGGTATATAAAAACACGTGCGTATTCGAATGCAACGTTGTGTCAAACTTTCAAAGCAATCGGTGAAGAACTTTCGGAGATTTAAGATTTTGAACAAACAAACATTTACATTTTTATTTATATAGATGTATATGTAGGGGTGTGGGTCTATACATATGTTGTACATAGTATGTTTAGGAGTGTCTCATGTATGTGTTTCACTTTGAGAGCGGGCAACTAATTTTCATTTTTGATGTGTGCCGTTGTGCCCACAGTAAAAAAAAATGACAATAAAGGTTATCTTATCTTATCTCTGGCCTGACACCCTCTCGATTTTGGAGCAGCGGATGGGATGAGGGGCAGAAAATTGACTTCCTGTGGATGTCTTCTTCTCGGCCAAAGTAATATCTCCGTTGGTTTACTTCTGGTCTTCAAGGAGCGCGAGAATCCAGTGCTGTGCCCGTCTACGCATTTGAGCCTTAAAGGTTCCCAAATCTCATCTCTCTTCCTCTTTTCTCTCTTAGACTTTCACAGCATGGTGCAATTCCCACCTTCGGAAAGCCGGCACGCAGATCGAGAACATCGACGAAGACTTCCGCGATGGTCTCAAACTGATGCTGTTGCTGGAGGTCATTTCAGGTGAGGCTCCAGATGGCTGGACGTGTTTTTCCAGGCCACCGAAGACTTCCCAGGTCTCCTAAGAGCTCCTGCTGTAGGTAGCTTCTTGAGATGATTCTGGACGCTTGTGTGTCTTCCTAATGTGGTCCTCTCCAAATTGGGATCTTCCCATTTTGTTGGAAAGAACGCCCAGACAACGTTCAGGGCATCGGGTTGATCAAAGCCTCAGCAATAGATCATAGAGAGGAGTCGGTGAAGAAACCCTTAAATCAGGGGTAGTCAACCTTGGCTCTTTTATGACTCGTGGACTTCAATTCCCAGAATTCCTGAGCCAGCTTAGCTGGCTCAGGAATTCTGGGAGTTGAAGTCCACGAGTCATAAAAGAGCCAAGGTTGACTACCCCTGCCTTAAATTAAAGGGGTAAAACTGAACATAGATTCGATCTCTTCCCCTCGGCCCGGTTCAGTGCCCCGATTGAAGCAAAAACGGTTTTAATGGAATAACTTGAATTTTGAGTTTCAATTACATTCTGAAGCGGATGAGATCTAGTCAGTAGTCTGTCTCCTGGCTGCTTGCTTGTACCCGTATTTTGGCCTTTTGTATGGATTCCCTTTCGGAGGCACAGCGCGGCACAGGTTGTGCATACAGGTATTCCTCAATCTTTGACCACAGTTGAGCCCAACATTTATGTTGCTAAGTGAAACATTTGTTAAGTGGGTTTTGCCCAGTGGGTGGGATTCAGCCAGTTTGCACCACTTCGGCAGAACCGGTAGCTAATTTTTTGTTGCCCAGGCCCATAAGAACATAAGAACAACTCTTTATAGGCCAAGAATGTGTTATATTTACTGAGTTTTCTCTGTTACAATATATTCTCAGTGATGCACAGCAAACAAAACATTGATCAGGGAAGGATAGGATAGGATAGGATAGATTGTAGAATAGAATAAGAATAGAACAGAACAGAAAAGAATAAGGAATAGAATAGAATAGAATAAAACAGAACAGAACAGAACAGAATTACAAATAAGAATAGAACAGAACAGAAAAGAATAAGGAATAGAATAGAACAGAACAGAATAGAATAGAATAGAATAGAATAGAATAACAGAATTGGAAGGGACCTTGGAGGTCATCTAGTCCAACCCCCTGCTCAGGCAGGAAACAGTATATACCATTTCAGACAAGGGGCTGTCCAGTCTCTTCTTAAAAACCTCCAGTGTTGGAGCATTCACACCTTCTGGAGGCGGGTAGTTCCACCGATGGATTGTTCTAACTGTCAGGATTTTTTTCTTCTTCGAAGAAAATAATAAAATAACACAGCGATCTGTGTTTATATGCTATATTTATTAAATTTAAATACCACCCACCTCGCAGGCAGATGACTCCGCGCGGCCTGCGACACAATAAAAACAGTATTCTAAAAGATTAAAACAGTAGAGTATAACATTAAGAGTGAGCTAAGTTGGGTGTTTACATCAACTAATGCAGCAAAGCAGGATGTAACCACATCCAGTGCATTCTTTTTAGATGTAAAAATGTATACAAAACAATCCTCAGTTTGAAAGTTTTCTGCCGCTGCTCTTCTGGAGCCCCTGAAAGCGTGGGAGTGAAATTTATTTGGCTTACATTTCTGGAATTAATAAAGGAACTGAAACATAACAATATTGTTTTTAGGTTTGGCCCTCTTCTCTTTGCTGTTCAAATTATGCTGGAAAATATGTGAATTAGGGGGGGGGGAATTGTGCATTGTATATCAACAATTATATGTCACCACCACCCCACCCCGAGCTACAAATATTCTTTTACTATTGCAATTGTAAAGAGAGAGAACAATATAATTAGAGGAATAAGCTTGGGGGCAAAAAAAAAAAAACAACCACGTCTCTACCAAAAATTCTGTTCATCAATTCGTTGCGATTCCTGTCTGCCCCAAAAGACATGCAGAGAATTGGTGGATCTGTTAGGGAAATGAGCTGTTCCAAAAACTGACACAGAGGTACAAGGAAATGAATTTATTTATTTTTTTTAAAAAATAAATAAAATACAGCCGGAAGGTTGACAAGCAAAACAGATGGCTTTGTCTGGCTAATAATTGTTTATAATAGAGTTTTGCCAATGGGGCAGGATACAAATTTATAACAATCCCGGAGGGCTAGAGGCATTCCTTGACTTAGGACTATAGTTGGGGGCCAGGGTTTCCGTTGCTAAGCAAGGCGGTTGTTAAATGAGTTATGAAGTGAATTGCGTGGTCATTAAGCGAATCCAGTTCTCCCCCCCCCTCCCCGGCGACTTTGTTTGTCAGAACCAGCTGCGAAGTTTGCAAATGGCAAATTACAGGATCCAGTCCTCATGAGGACATGCTGGTTTGCCAAGGGGTCCAGTTTTGACCAGGAGACTGTGACGATGTTGCGACGGTCGTAAGTGCAGGATCAGGTTCAAGTCACTTTTTTCAGGGCCCTAGGAATTTTGAACGGTCGGCTGTAAGTTGAGAACTACTTGTGCAGGGGGTCCTCCACTCATGACAGTTCATTTAGTGACCATTGAAAGTTAACAATAGCACTGAAAAAAGTGACTTACGATCGTTTTTCACACTTACGACCGTTGCGGTATCCCCGTGGCCACATGATTAAAATCGATCTGAATTTTATCTGAACGTCAGTGGCAACCGACTCATATTTATGACGGTCGCAGCATCCTGGGACCCTGTGATCCGTTTTCGCAGCCTTCCGACAAGCAAAGTCAGGGGGGGGGGAAGAGCCAGATTCACTTAACAACCGGGTTATTAACTTAAGAACCGTAGCGATTCGCTTAACGCCTGTGGCCAGAAGAGTCGTAAAATGGGGTAAAAAGCCACTTAAACAAATGTCTCGCTGAGCGACAGAAATTTTGGGCCCAGTTGTGTCCGTCGGACGAGGAGTACCCATCCTCAACGTTCTGATTCTCGGTTCGGTTCCTTTTTGGAATCTCTTTAAGATCCCGCCTTCTCTGTTTTATGGATTTTAGGAGAACGGTTACCGAAGCCAGAAAGAGGGAAAATGAGAGTACATAAAATCAACAACGTGAACAAAGCGCTGGATTTCATCGCAAGCAAAGGAGTCAAGTTGGTTTCCATAGGGGCTGAAGGTAAGATGGCCGGCCTTTATAAAGAGGGATTTATTTTTTTTTTGCACTGGTAATCTGCACCCAATTTACTATGTGTACTAAAGAGGAGGTGTAAAACTTTTTAACCCTTCCTAATAAAGGGGCAAAGGTCTAGTGCAAAACTTTTAGAGACCAAGTGCCCAAACTGCAACCCAAAACACACTTATGCATTGTTGGGTGCCGGGTGGGCGTGGCCCATTGGGTGGGTGTGGCTGCGGTGGTAACGGCAGACTGGGTGGGACTAAAAGTTCAATCAATCAATTACAACTTTGCAAGATCTTTTTTTTTCCCACGAGAAGTTGAAATTGACTCATTGATTGAACCCTTTTTTTTTTTGCACACGGCGGCGGAGGCCTAAAGCGAAAAGGTTTTATAAAACCCAGCTGAAGGCCTAGGACTGGGGCGACGGTGCGCATGCCCACAGAGAGGGCTCTGAGTGCCGCCTCTGGCACCCGTGCCATAGGTTCGTCACCACTGGTCTAGTGATAGAAAATTAGCTGCCTTCAAATTGAACTCGTTCCCCCCCCCCTTTATATTTGGGGTGGGGGTAGTCGTTTGTCTTAAGTCTGCTTCCCTGCTCATCTCCATCTTATAGAATAGAATAGAGGTGAAAGGGACCTTGGAGGTCTTCTAGTCCAGCCCCCCGCTCAAGCAGGAGAACCTACACCATCTTGGACAAGTGACTGTCTAGCCCAGGGGTAGGCAACCTTGGCTCTTTTATGACTCATGGACTTCAACTCCCAGAATTCCTGAGCCAGCCACAAGTCATAAAAGAGCCAAGGTCGCCTACCCCTGGTCTAGTCTCTTCTTAAAAACCTCCAGTGATGGAGCTCCCACGATTTCTGGTGGCGAGCTGTTCCACTGGTTGATTGACCTCACTCTCAGGAAGTTTCTCCTTAATTCCAGGTTGCTTCTCTCCTTGATCAGTTTCCAACCCTTGTTTCTTGTCCTGCCCTCTGGCTCTTTGGAAAATAGTTTGACCTAAGAACGGGGTGGGCTGCTGACTGGATCCCCCCACCCTTCCCCATAGATTGTCGCTTCTGTACCTTCGATGAGGACAGTGCAGTTAGCAGATGAGCTGAGCCCCCATTAAAAATATATATATACTTAGCTGGAAATCGCAAAGCCGTATTTCCATTTCAGCTCCCAGCTTTTGCTGCTTGTCTGCTTTGCTCTATCTTTGTTTTTCCTTCGTTTCTCCGGATCCATTTCCAGAACAAGCTGTGTTTTCCTTCTAACTGTGGCTGTTCCTAGAAGGGCCTCATTGCTGGGGCCACAAACACAGCAGGATGCTTTAGGAAAGACATTCTTCACTCAGTTTGGTGCTGCCTGGGCTGTGCTGAAGATTAAGGCTGATTTCACACACACACACACACACACACACACTCTATGCTGCTTGAATAAGGGCCAGACATTCTGCTGCAGCCTCAGTTTCCCCACTTGGTTCAGAGAGGGAATAAAAATGATCTGGATGGGTTACGAAGGGAGGCCGAGAACAGAAAGATGTAGTTGTTATGTTTTTGCTTATTAGATTGGCAGGTAAGAAAGGGAAAAAGTTATAAAGGGAAAACTCGGGAAAAGTAAGAGCGCAAAGGGCCTAGAAAGATTCACGAGAATTATAAAATTCCCCTAACAATATTTCCCAAAATGACATCGATATAAATCCACATACGAGGATGGCTCGCCCCGAGGTAAAGTTTTGAGACCGTATCGAAATTGGGTTACTATACAGCCACGAACAATTACCACTATGAGTAACTCATGATGTGTTATAAAATCCAAGCGAAAAGCCGGCCGTAATTTTGCCAGATTTAACAGCCCATCGAAATGACGAGCGGTTAAAAATGAGAATTTTTGACATGCCTTTCATGAAGTTGCGCAGAGAAAAATGTTCCTTTTAGGGAGCCAATTTACAAACGCAAATACAATATATTTTTTTTTTTTAAAAAAATGCATTTTCGTTTGCCTGGGCGTGTTCATGATTCCGTGTCTGAGGATGTGCTTGAGGGACTCGGTCAGAGTTCTGGCTTTATAATAATAATCACCATCATAATAAAGTTGGAAGGGACCTTGGAGGTCATCTAGTCCAACCCCCTTTGTGACACCTATGGTGAGAACATGTTGGCCGGAGTTTTATGGAAGGGTAAATTCTGAGCATTCAGTGTTTACACAGGATCCTTTCCCGGTGACCTGTACCCACTTGGCACAATTATCCCGGTGTTGCCAACTGATGATGATGATGATCATGATGATGATGATGATAAAGTTGGAAGGGGCCTTGGGGGTCATCTAGTCCAACCCCCTGCTCAGGCAGGAAACCCTATACCATTTTAGACAAGTGGCTGTCCAGTCTCTTCTTATAAAACTTCCAGTGTTGGAGCATTCACCGCTTCTGGAGGCAGGTTGTTCCACTGGTTAATTGTTCTGTCAGGAAGTTTCTCCTTAGTTCCAGGTTGCTTCTCTCCTTGATTAGTTTCCATCCGTTGCTTCTTGTCCTGCCTTCAGGCGCTTTGGAGAATAGCTTGACTCCCTCTTCTTTGGGGCAGCCCCTGAGATACTGGAAGATGGCTATCCTGTCCCCCCCTGGTCCTTCTCTTCATTAAACTAGACAGACCCAATTCCAGCAGCCGTTCCTCATATGTTTTAGCCTCCAGTCCCCTAATCATCTTTGTTGCTCTTCTCTGCACTCTTTCTAGAGTCTCAACCTCTTTTTTACATCGTGGTGACCAAAACTAGATGCAGTATATATCCTGTTTCTTTTGAGCAGGGGCCCTCCGCGTGAAGGCAGCCAAGGTGTCCACACTCCGGCAGGAAGGCGTAGAGCAGTGTTTCTCAACCTTGACCATTTTAAGGCATGTGGACTTCAACTCCCAGCATTGCTGGCTGTGGAATTCTGGGAGTTGAAGTCCACATGCCTTAAAATGGTCAAGGTTGAGAAACACTGGCGTAGAGAGTAAGGAAGGTGACCTTGATGGAAATGATTCAGTCTCTTTTGCCTAGGAAGCAGTTCCTGTACATTTCCATCCGGACAGTCCCAAAAGATGCTTTTTTTTTCAAAAGGCAAAACAGGACATGGTTGTTTTTTTCCCCTTGAAGACGTTTCGCTTCTAATCCAAGAAGCTTCTTCAGTTCATTCAGTCCAGTTGCCTCCTGAAAAAAGCACTTTTGGGACAACCATGACCTGGATGACTGAGAATCTCCATAATCTCCACTTCCATCTGGATTATTATCTTCGCTCCCTACAAACTGGGTATATATGTCTTGCTCATTCCCTTCCTGCTGTCTCTTTCCAGAAATTGTCGATGGCAACGCCAAGATGACCCTGGGTATGATTTGGACCATCATCCTCCGGTTTGCCATCCAGGACATTTCAGTGGAAGGTAAGAGGGCAGGTTGGTGCTTGCGAGATTGCTAAGGCCCTTTTCTCACGCCCATCCCGAGTCGGCAACAGCCTTCCGTTTATCCCAACGTTTTTTCAGACTTGGCAATTTTAAGAGGGATGGACTTCAACTTCCAGAACTTTTAAGATGGGTGGAAATTCAGCTCCCAGAATTCCCCGGCCAGCATGCTAATAAATTTTTAAGATTGGCAGACATCAGCTCCCAGAATTCCTGACAGGGGAACCCTAGGAGTTGAAGTCCACCCATCTTGAGGTTGCCAAGTTTGAAAAAAAACATTGATTTCACTCAACTTTTCCTGGCTTTGACACCTTCCACAGTGGTCAGGCTGGATGAGATTGACGGGAACGGTGGTCCAACCCACGTGGAGACCACCTGACTGAAGGAAGGCAGTGGCTGGACGTGAGAGGGCGAGATTAAAAACCAAGAACGAAGCCTTGCGGTGATCCAGGATGGTGCTCACGCCTTAAGAGTGACTTCTGTGCTTGTAGCTTCTCACTAGATCTCGACACTCCAATGGCCTAGAACGGGTAGGCAACCTTGGCTCTTTTATGACTCGTGGACTTCAACTCCCAGAATTCCTGAGCCAGCTATGCTGAGGGGAAAGGGAGAGGTTGCCATGCTGAGCCATGCTGGCTCAGGAATTCTGGGAGTTGAAGTCCTCCCATTGTCAAGTGGCCAAGGATGAGAAACACTAAGTCTAGGCCAGGGGTAGGCAACCTCGGCTCTTTGATGACTCGTGGACTTCAACTCCCAGAATTCCTGAGCCAGCATGGCTCAGCTTGGAAACCTCTCCCTTTCCCCTCAGCATGGCTGGCTCAGGAATTCTGGGAGTTGAAGTCCACCAGTCATAAAAGAGCCAAGGTTGCCTACCCCTGGCCTAGAACGACTGTCTAAATGCAAGAAACATTGTAAAATGAAGCATACTCATGTGATGACCACTTAACGACCGTAATTGCAGGCTCAATTGCGGTCGTATGGTGAGGACTACCTGTATTCTTAGGCTTTGCTCAATCTGGAGTATGGCAGCTAGCAGAAAGTAGCTGGAAGGATGGAGCTTGATAAACAAGATCCTTACCTTCCCTCTTTTCCCATCTGCTCTGCAAATGTCTGCCCCCACCCCACCCCCATTCCTTGAATCTTTTTTTCCCCTTTTTTCTTTTTTTTAGCAACCAGTTGCATCCTGCAGCCAGATTTGATTCGATGCTGGCTTAATTTTGCCTTCATCCTGCAAATAGCCCCCAAAGGCTGCCTCTCTCAGCCCCCCAACTGGTTTCCATTGGGTGGGTGGGGGGCATCCCAAGCCTTCCCAGCTGTTTGCAGACACAAGAAAGCCATTTATTTGTTGAGAAGACATTTTCGGCCCTTAGTTGTTGTTTTTTTGGCACCTGAATTTACGTGGGATCTGTTTTATTTCTTTGGTATTGTATTGTGTGTTTTCGTCTCTTGGTTCACCGTCGAGAGTCTGGGGGGATCGGGGTGGAATATAAATAGTGGGAAAGAGAAATAAAATACCCTTTTCTCGTGGCAAGGAATGCGTGTGTAAAGATGTCGTTCTCTGTGGAAGGAAAGATGCTCCAGTGGATTCTCTATGATTTATTTGGATTTAGGTTGATAGATTTGGCTTCACCTCAGACTTTTTTCAAACTTGGCTCTTTCAAGATGCGTGGACTTCAACTCCCAGAATTCCCCAGTCAACTTTATTGGGAGTTGGAAGTCTGCATATCTTAACGTTTGCCAAGGTTGAAAAAAAACACCACTCGGTCCTTTTTTTTTTCTTTTTTTTTTTTTTTGGCCTGGACTTATAGTGTGATGTTGTGAACCTGCCCTTGCGACAACACCGCACGAGCAACACGATTACCTCCTTTCTCTCTCTCTCTCTCTCTCTCTCTCTCTGTAGAGACTTCAGCCAAAGAAGGACTCTTGCTGTGGTGCCAAAGGAAGACGGCTCCTTACAAAAACGTCAACGTGCAAAATTTTCACATCAGGTAACTTTTCAACACGACAGATATACCGATATATTTGGGCCGGCTCTTGGTTTTACCTCTTTGAAACACAGAAGCAGCCGTCTCACATCTGGAGAAATGGGATAATAATAATAATAATAATAATTAATAATAATAATAATAATAATAATAATAATAATAANGCTTCTGGAGGCAGGTTGTTCCACTGGTTAATTGTTCTCACTGTCAGGAAGTTTCTCCTTAGTTCCAGGTTGCTTCTCTCCTTGATTAGTTTCCATCCGTTGCTTCTCGTCCTGCCTTCAGGCGCTTTGGAGAAGAGCTTGACTCCCTCTTCTTTGGGGCAGCCCCTGAGATATTGGAAGACTGCTATCATGTCTCCCCTCGTCCTTCTCTTCATTAAACTAGACATACCCAATTCCAGCAGCCTTTCCTTATATGTTTTAGCCTCCAGTCCCCTGATTATCTTTGTTGCTCTTCTCTGTACTCTTTCTAGAGTCTCAACATCTTCGGAAGGCTGCAAAATGTTGATTTCTTGGCTTAAGAAATTCTACCAGCCAGGAAGCCAACTTTTTGAAGCTTTGTGCTGGGACCTGAGGCTCAGGATTTGGAGAATCCCAGGAACTTTGTGAAGGGCTAAATTTCCTTCTTTTCACAAAAGGCCTTTTGTGTTGACAGCTGGCTGCAGCAAGGTTGCTGTGTTGGGCGGGTTGATGGATGCCGATCCAATGAAGCATCCGGTAGGGAAACGTCCCCGGGGGCGTTGATTTTTCCACCACACAGCAAGGTTGAGGGGAGATAGAGCAAGGCAGCCTTTCACACACACCCCACTCCACCCCCTCGACTTAATTGACCCTGGTCAAGGATGGGCATTGGCCTGATTTCAAAACTTGTGCAAGGGAACAATTTGGACTTTGGGTAAGAGCTATCTGCCCTTCCCTGGAGCTTGGGAAAAAGAGAAGAATCTCGGAAAAGGAGAAGAAAAAAAAGAGGAGAGGAAAGGAAGGGAACGAGGGGAAAGGAAGGGAGGGGAGTTATAGAAGAAGAAAGGTGGTGAGAGAGGAATTGAAGGAGGGAGGGAAGGAGGAAAAGGAAGGAGGGAGGAAGGAAAGAAAGGAAAGAGAGAGAGAGTGGAAGGGAGGGAGGGAGGAAGGAAGGAAGGAAGGAAATAAATGTCAGAGAGAATACAACCATGTCCACAGATTCCTGACCCTCATTAAGTCCATTTACCTTTGCTCAGCCTCATCCCTTCCACAGCTTATTCCTGAGTAGACGCTACGCTCCACAGCAACAGCCACCCCTGCAAAAATGGCTGCCAACCCCCAAATTCTGGAATAATTCCTCTTACATTTTCACTTTTCACCATCCTCTGGATGATTCAAAATTTATATCTTTGCCCAGAGTCGCTCCAACACTGACATGGATGGTCTGTAAATGGAACAAAAATATGTTTCCCAAAGCTGTTGCCATTTCTTCTTATCCTGGACCTGCAAGCTACGTTTTTGGAAAGCTCAGAAGGGTCCCACCTTTGAACCAAAACTTGTGTGTCTGAAAAGGCGCTGCCAGATGCCTTCAGATGTTGAGCTCCTTCCGTAACTCAACAGGTTCTCCCAACAGGACACCCAGTTTTGTGATTAACGTTTTTCTAAAGACTCTCTTGGCTTCCTCAAAAGACTTGACTCTCTCTTATTTTCCATTTTTTCAGTTGGAAAGACGGCCTGGCTTTTAACGCTTTGATACACAGACACCGACCAGAACTCATCGAATATGACAAGCTCAGAAAGGTATTTGCGTGTGTGTGTGCGCGTGCGCTGTTCTGCCTTTCACCTCTTGGTTTTGAAATATTTTCCACCTTATCCTGGCCGAACTCGTTTTTTTTCTGCCGTGCCATTTGTACTGGGTTGAGTGAGGCCTGGGATCAAACCCCAGTTTGGCCCCCCAAAAATGCTGGGTTACTCTAGGCCAGGGGTCTTCAAACTTGCCCCTTTTATGTGGACTTCAACTCCCAGAATTTCTGAGCCAGCATGGGGAAACTATGGCCCCTTCATGACTGGTGGACTTCAACTCCCAGAATTCTTCAGCCAGGCGTGCCTGGCTGGGGAATTCTGGGTGTTGAAGTCCACAAGTCATAAAAGGGCCAAGTTTGAAGACCCCTGGCTAAGAGGTAGGATGAGAAAATCAGACACAGCTGCTCATAGTGATGAGCCATTAAGGCAGTGGTCAACCAAGTTTTAACCTCTCCAGCCATTTCCCTTATCCCCAGGACGATCCAGTCACGAATCTGAACAACGCTTTTGAGGTCGCCGAGAAGTACCTTGACATTCCCAAGATGTTAGACGCAGAAGGTAAGCCGGAGATTTATGCCTTAATATCCCGTTTTGTTCCACAAAATCCACCAAGGCAGACGTCATCACGGCATTTGAATGAAGTTAGTTGGGTCAAGCTTGGCGCTGAAGTACAATCTCTGCTTTCTTTTTTTGCCGTCAGAAAGTTGAAGGGGACAATGCAGAAAAGTTAGGGAGACGATCTCGATAGAAATAATAAGAGGAACCTTTATGGGAACAAAGAGGGAGGAAATATTATTTTGTCTTGGGAAACAGGATAGTATTAGGAAGAGGCTCAGGCTGATTCACGGGAAGGAAAAACATAACCAGGCTTGCAAGATTCTGTTATGGTAGCCTACAGCTAGTCCTTGACTTAGGACCAGAATTTTAATTGCTAAGCAAGCTGGTTGTTAAGTAAGCCATGCCCAATTTTTACAAGCTTTTTTGCCAGCCAAGCAAATCACTGCAGATGTTAAGTGAATCACGTGGACGTTAAGCAAATCAGTTCCCCCCCCCCATTGACTGGCTGGGAAGGCTGCCAATGGTGATCACATGACCCCGTCATAAGTACGTGCTGGTTGCTAAACGCCTAAATCTTGATCATCTGACGGGGATGCTGCGATCGTCATAAAGTGCAAAGACCAGCCGTAAGGTTTTTTTTTTCCCCCAATGCCATGGTAACTAAATAAATAGTCAAGGTCTATCTGCATCTCAAACATAGTTCTAATATTTCTGTGTAATCTGTTTTGTGACCTGAGCTAAGTGCTGACATTAGCCTTGCAAACTGCAAACATCCAGATTAATTTTTTTAGAAACAACTGTTTTAAAATAGGCTGAAGGACTGAAATGGAATTTGGAAACCATTCCTTACAAACACACAGATTTGCAATTATTTGTCGAGATACAATGCGAAGGAAGAGTGTGGCTTGGAAACAAGTAATTTCCTAATCATGTTTTTGAGTCATTTTAAAAAAAAATTCCCTCCTCCTTCATATCGACAGCCACAAGTCTTTTGGCTCAATGACTTGTGTGGCATTTCTTAATAATAATAGAAATGTAGATTCCCCCCCAAAAAATTGTGAATCAAATTTATACGGCTGCCTATCAGGTGCAAGCAGCCAGACCCACGTGTGAATAGTCGAAGTCCGTAACTTTATCGCCTACCACCTATGTTACAAGAATCTCCCCAGACTGCTTGCCATCCCCTGGGAAGGACCAGATTAAAGTTTCATGGATCTTGGGGGAGGGTCAAGCTTAACGCTGTTTGCAGCTGTGCAGTGACTCCCAGCTAAGTCCCCACTTGACCCTTCCCTCCAGCCTAGCTGGCAGTCCCCCAACATTGTTCGTGTCACGGAAAGGGATCTTGCAGCCCTGAAATTCCCGCTGCGATAGAAGAATGCGAGGAATTGCCGCGAAGTTACAGACGAGCTTTGCGGTCTTTCGGCAGGCTTGAGTTATGGGACAGGAAACGCGATACAAATCTTGGATAAGCATCCCAGCTTGTACGACGGACAGGCAGCTAAGATCCCGGGTAGAGTTCGTCTGGATTTTTATGGCATTAAGTTTTTCCCAAGCTGGATTTTTGCCTGCGGTCCCTTGGTGATGTTAGGGCTCAAATGACCTGAGTTATTTCCGATGTGCTTAATCCTTCTTGTTCGCTTTTCAGACATTGTCAACACGGCCCGTCCCGATGAGAAGGCTATTATGACCTATGTCTCCAGCTTCTACCATGCCTTCTCCGGGGCCCAGAAGGTACCAGAGACGGGTGGCGTCTTCCCATTAACCGCTTCTGTTCTTTCCAGCATCCTGCCTTCTTTTGACTTCTCTTGGAGAGGGCTGCCGCTACGAGCCAACTGGGAACCCCAGACCTCAGCTAGTTCAGGATAAGCTTCAGAACGACCCAATGCAGGAAGAAAAGAAAAAAATAGGGGCTGGTTTTCCAAAACTCACCCAAAATCCCTTTGGGGGGGGAGAGAGGCTGGGAAATGACACCTGGGCTTGTCGTAGATCAGGGGTTCTCAACCTTGGCAACTTTAAGACTTGTGGACTTCAACTCCCAGAATTCCTCAGCCAGCTTTGCTGGCTGAGGAATTCTGGGAGTTGAAGTCCACAAGTCTTAAAGTTGCCAAGGTTGAGAACCCCTGTCGTAGATGGAGGCCGCTTTAGAAGAAGGAGAGGCAACCTTAGAACGTTTTACGACAGTAAGACCAACCAAACAGGAACTCCACAATTCATCCTTCCCCACACACCCCAAAAAAGAAGTCAATGAGAACATGGGTTGATGAAGACCAAGGTCCCAAATTCTCACTAAGAAGGTCATTTGGTCTTCGACTTCCAGAACATGCAGTGAGGCCATCTGGTAGGCCAAAGAGTCCAAGGGTCTGTTTCAGGGGTCAAGGATGAAATTTGAGTTCCTTAGGAGAAATTCCATGGGGTCCTTTGGCCAGATCTGGGTGTTTTAGGCACCCAGGCCACATCTGGCCCTTTGGCTGACCCTGTCTGGCCCATGTGGGGACTACTAGTTGGTATAGGGCAGGGGTAGTCAACCTTGGCTCTTTTAGGACTCGTGGACTTCAACTCCCAGAATTCCTGAGCCAGCTGTGCTGGCTCAGGAATTCTGGGAGTTGAAGTCCACGAGTCCTAAAAGAGCCAAGGTTGACTACCCCTGGTATAGGGTTTCCTGCCTGAGCAGGAGGTTGGACTAGAAGACCTCCAGGGTCCCTTCCAACTCTTGTTATTCCATACTATATTTTGAGAGCAACTGCTATTTTATTTTATTTTTCAATTTACCTACGTGTGCACATGCACCTTCTTAGCCCTCTCGGTTCACCCTTCCACAACAGCCCCACTTTCTCACGGGGAAAAATGAATTGCCCACGGCTCAAGTTCTGTTCTAGCTGAGGTCTGGTTCCCCCCAGGGAGCAAAAATCTGTCTTCCGTCCTGCCTCTGGTCTTCTGCATGTCCGGGCAGACCTGAGGGATCTCCGGCCGTGCCCTTGACTCTCTGCCTCTCTTTTTCTCTTTCCTCTCGCGCAGATATTGTAGGCACGCTCAGGCCCGACGAGAAGGCCATCATGACTTATGTCTCCTGCTTCTATCACGCTTTCTCAGGGGCTCAGAAGGTGAGCTTGGGCTGGGCTGGGCTGCTTCGCGCTGCCGCCGCTTGTTGGCTTGGAAGATCTCGGGCCGAGCATGGCTGTAGAAATGGGAGGAATAAATAATAGCTAAATAAATAAATGTCGGGACCAAAGGGGCTTGGAAGCGCAGAGGGGATCCGTCAGGTTAGGATATCAGGCATGGTTCTCCACCCCACCCCCCAAATAATGGGCCAGGAAGAGGATTCTGGGCCATCTAAGCCAGCGTGTCTCAACCGTGGCTACTTTGAAGAGCTGCGGACTTCAACTCCCAGAATTCCCCAGTCAACCCCCTCGCTGGGAGTTGAAGTCCATGCATTTCAAAGGGGCTTAAAAATATTGTGTTTCTGAACCTGGCCAGCCTTAAAGTGTGGCCTTCAACTCCTGGAGGAGGGGGATTCTGAGAGCGGGGGTCCACCCCGCTTCAAGGGGCCACGGTTGACAAACTCTGATCTAAGACAACGGGCCGGTTAACTCCTGCCCGTCTTCTCCATCGTTTCGGAAGGAGGCAGGAACGAAACGTGAGATGGGTTCAAGTTGACTTTTGAAAGCGACTTCAAGGAGAGGCGTCAGAAAACACCACAAGGACACAGTCAGAAAACACCACAAGGACACCGGCTGTGGAACTGCCCGCCCCCTCCTTTTTCCCACCCCCAAAAGCTCTCTCTCATCTGGAAATTACTTTCTGCTTTTGATTATCCTTGCTTGCTCTTCCAGACAGTCGAGAGATACACAGACACACACACACACACACACCAAGGTATTCTTTCACGTCCCCCAAATTTTCTGGATGAGGTGTTTCTCCTTCAGTCGTCCTCAGGTTTCAACCGCAGGATAAACATTTTGGCTAGCGTTGACATTTTGGCTAGCGTTGACCTTGAGCGATGTAGTTTCCAGAACCAGCAATTGTGGCTCGTGGTGGCAGGGAAAACGAGGCCACCGATGTAGGGTGTCAGTTGCCCTCTTTCCTAACCTGGGAATCCACAGCTTGCTTTCTCTCCCCCCCCCCCCCTGCATTTCCAAAGATCCCGGGAGATTGGGATTAGAAAAGCTGGGAAAATTCACAGCCTGGCCGGTTCCTTTTGGCCTTTGCGGGAAGCTAAGATCTCTGGAGGGAGGGCCTGAGGCTGCAGAATCCGGGACAGAAATGGGAAGGACAGCCACAAGGCTGAATCCTAAGGAGGAATTTTGTGCATGGGGGGCGGGGGGGGTCTCCATCGGTGATGGATTGTTTCTGGAGGGGCGGGCGATGTTTTTTGCGTGCCGTGAGAAAAGCGGATCGATGTGGGTTCTGCACATCCTCCGTCGGCGTCCTCCAGAGCAGGATTAAAAGAGTCACCACACAGTTTCCTGAACATCTGTGTGTATATGTGTGTGTGTGTGTGTGTGTGTGTGTGTGTGTGTGTGTGTGTGTGTTGGGGGGAACTGTCTCTCTTGAAATTAAAAAAAACAAACAAACACCTAGTTCTCAACTGCTGCAAAGAGCAGCTGGATTGTTCTCTTAGCCAGGCCTGGTTGAAAAGCTCTCTTCCCCGAGTGGATTTTAAGATCCCGTTAAAGCTTCCTTGCTCCCAGTCCCTTGCTCCTAGCGACTTAACGGGAAGAGAGCCAAGCCTGCAAAAAATGCACCCGCAAGCATGAGTTTGCGCTGGGTTTAGAGATTTTGTTTTTCTGGCACAAGAGTTCTCTTTCTTTCTTTCTTCTACCCCCCCTTCCCCTCCCCTGGCTTAATTGCTTGCTTGCTAATTTTAGCTTTTGCATGCTGAACATCCAGCCCAGTTTTACCAAGCTGTGCTTTTCCTCTCTTGTCTCTTTTCCCATCGGATGCCAAGTCGCCCTTTCCTTCTCCTCGGAGCCTGGAAAGGAAAATTGGAAACCTTTCTCCCCCCCCACCCCACCCAGCCAGGTCTTGCCTAAACCTCCCTCCTCCATGTATCCCCCCTATACCTTGAATGCGGCAACCCACCGTCCATTTTTCCCTGGTCCTCCCCTTTGCTGTGCCCGCTTCCCTTCCCCTCTCTGCAACTGTGTTTTCCCTTCCTTCCTTTTGGATGGCTTGTTCTGTTTGTGTTCTTGGGGGGGGGGGTTATGTTCCCCTTTGTCAGATGGGCTCTTGAGTGGGTGGATCGGGCTTGTAGGAGATGGACAACTTTGCACAACTCTCAGTAGTTTTTGTTTTTTTTTAAAATCCCAATAAAATCCCAAGCTTTAATAAAATAAATTAAAATAAACTCTGCAAGCGCTGGTTGCTTACGCGGGTAGAATATGTTCCGATGTTTTAGGGCTAGAAGATAATATCTGTAGCTCAGGGTTGAGCTGTGGGGTCCTCGGTGGTCTCCAAGCTCGCTGGTTTTCTTGCAGACGTTTCGCCACCCAACTAGGTAACATCGTCAGTTCTAGAAGGGAGCGGGGTTTGCCTCCGACCCTCTTTTTTTTCATTTTTTAAAAAAAATCCTTCTGGACCTTTGTCAATCAAGCACCGGGTTAAACCCTCCAGCTTCCTCGGTTACGGGATTATGTCCCATTTTTTCCCCTCCTGAAACCATTCAGATGTGCAGAACCTCAAGCACCGGGCTTAGGGGCAGACGATGAAGGAAGATCGCTTTGCAACAAGGGGTGGACAGAAGTTGAATAAGGATGTTTGGAGTAAACTATTAGCGCAGACTGTAGATCAACCTTCTCCCATCTGATCTCCTCAAAGGGACCTGCAGCTCCCAGATCTCCCATCTGTAGAGAGCCAGGAGGATGGGTAGTGCTCGACTTACAACACAGTTCGCTTAGTGACTGTTCGAAGTTACAATGGCACTGAAAAAGTGCCCCCCGAGCCACAGCCGAGCAAGACACCTGCCTGCCCGCCCGGCGGCGCTCTTCCTCCTGTCCGAGGTTTTCATTGTTATGAGCATTTGTGTTGAGGATTGGCAGTAGGAGTGGGATGGGGGGGTGTTTGGTTTTTATTCCCCCCCCCCCCATCTGCTGGGTGGTTGCAGCAGGTTTTGGTCACTTCACATGACCCTGGGACACTGTGACCGTCATCAATATGAACCAGTTGCCAAGCATCTGAATGTAAATCACAAGACCCTGGAGAGGCTGCAACATTCCAGCTGATCGGCGCTTCTTCTGGGCTCAGCGGAAGCGCCAGGATCAGCGCCGAGCTCTAGCTGGAGCCTGGCGCTGATCCTGGCGCTTCCGCTGAGCCCTGACAGCCCCGAAGAAGCGCCGATCAGCTGGAAAGCGGCACTGATCCTGGCACTTCTGCTGAGCCGACAGCCCCGAAGAAGTGCTGATCAGCTGGAGCCTGGCGCTGATCCTGGCGCTTCCGCTGAGCCCTGACAGCCCTGCAGCTCCAGCCGTCTCTCGCTCAGGCTTGGGCGCTGCTGCCACCAGTTCAGCTCATTCCCCTCCCCTGCTACCACTTTCTTAGGATGGTCGCGTACCACCTGCCAGGTTGCCGATGTACCACAGGTGGTACCCGTACCACTGGTTGAAAAGCCCTGGATTAGTCGATTCCCACTGGGGGGGAGGGACTTATAGTTTTTTTATTATTATTTTAGTGGAAATAAAAGATCTCTCTCTTTTTTTCTTTTGAATATCCTATTTTGTTGGCAACTCATTTCTTCCATGGCTCTCTCCCTTTCCCCTTCCCCTACTATAGACCCTCCTCTTCACCCTTTCTGTTGATGTGTGGCTTCCATCTCCTTCCCTTGGACTCTCTCTGCTCCTAGCAAGGTACTTTGATCTCTTGACTTTTCCCATTTCATGGCTTCTGTGTAATTTGTCCCTTTTTTTTGCTTTGGGGGAAGCGCAGGTGTGGGCGCTACTACGGCGGGACTCCCAACACCACGCGCCCCCTCCCTTCCTCTTTTTAGCAGGCCCTTAACCTGCCCTGCTCCTGCTGCCTTTAAAAAAAACCCAAACCCTGACTTTTATATCCTGTTGTTTTTGAGAAAGGTTCTTAATCGGTTTCATTTCTCCTTTCTTGTGTTTTGGGGTTGTTGTTTTTTTTGTCAGCTTGGAATGTAGCTATCAGTATGAAACTGGGAAGGTTATGCTCACTGGGGGGGGGGGACACAAGAGGGGAAAATAACAATCAACCCCCATTGCTGGAAGTTTTCAAGAAGAGACTGGGCAGCCATTTGTCCAGGATGGGATAAGGACTCCTGCTTTGGGCAGGGTTGGACTAGAAGACCTCCAAGGTCCCTTCCAGCCCTAGGATTTTATGATTTAAGCATGACTTCGTTGAAATAGGATTGACTTAGGAAAGGGGAGCTACCAAAAACGTGCCACTGAGAACTTGTGCAGCTTGCAAAGGAACAAAAAGGCAGGAAAAAGAGGGGAAAAAAAGATTTTGCAGGAGATAATAGAATAAATGCCATAGCAAATGTTTGAGCAGTGCTTTCTGAATCCTAGATAAAGTACAGTAGTCCTCTTAAAGTATTCAAATCTTGGCTTATGAAAAGCTAGGATAACTAGAGGTTTTTGCACAAGTCCTTTAATCTCCATGCAGACCAATGGTTTACCCTCAACATCCAACTTAGAAAATACGGTAATCAGTATTGGGTTTAAATCAGGGTCTGAAACCATGGTTTGAAGATGCTAGCTTTGATCCATGCATGCTAACTATTGTGTCTTGGTTGTGAAGCATCAACAGTTGTAAATTCAAGTGCTCGACTCGAGTAGACCAAAACAGGAAGTATATGAGTTTTGGACATAACATTGGTTTAAGCTGTGATCCAAAACTGGGCCACGGTCATCAGCCAGATACAAAAGATGAGCCTTCTCATCTGGTTCTGTTATCCAGCAGCTCAAACCAAGGTTGGTCCAATCAACTGACCTGGCGTTACGCTTAGCATGCTATCATCTCTGCTTGCGTTAGTAGTCTATGGGAAAGGTCTGCACAGCTTCCAGATCAGCGTTTCTCAAGCTTGGCCACTTGAAGATGGGTGGACTTCAACTCCCAGAATTCCCTAGCTAGCTGGAGAGCTCCTCCGTGGCTGGAGAACCCAACCGTGGCCCGGAGAACCCAAATTTGGTTGGAGAACTGAAGTCCACACAACTTCCAAGCTGTCAGAGTGGAGAAACGCTGCTCCGGATTACGTCCTCAAACTGGATTGAGACTTAATTGTTTGCTCCAAATTCTGCTTTTTCTCTACTTGTGGGGGAGCTCAGTTGTTTCTTATGATGGTTTAATTATTGCTTTGATCTCATGCTGTGCCTTTCCTTGGTAGGTCTCGGTCTACGAGGCGTTTGCCCGTTGAGTCATCCGTTTTTTCCCCTCTTGTTTTGCTCGTAGGCCGAGACTGCTGCAAACAGGATTTGCAAAGTGTTGGCCGTCAACCAAGAGAATGAGCACCTGATGGAAGATTACGAGAAGCTGGCTTCTGACGTGAGTGTTGATGAGCCTTCCCTGTTTTCAAAGCCTGTGACAAGCCAGTGTTGATGAGCCTTCCCTTGTCAAAGCCTGTGACAAAGCCAAGAGTTTTGCGAATCCCATCTGTCAGCGGGCTCTGTGGATATATTTGAGACCATTGAGAAATTGGGGGAGTGACAGGGTGCCTTGATCACTTCTAAGTCTGAACTTAATTCTTAAGGTGGACGTCATAACCAGGTTCACCAAAGACAACCTTGCCTCACTGTCACGTGGGTTGAGCTGGCTAGCAAAGCCAAATGCTTGCCAAGTCTGCAGAGGCTTAGAAGCTAGGACTGATGTATCTCTGAACGTGCTGGTTGTGCTCCAAAAACAGACCTCACAAAACCTCATGCTTATTCCTGATGACTTCCCGTGGTCCAAAGAAGTGTTTCTGAAGGTGCTTTTTCACGAGGCAACTGGACTTTCTTGTTTTCCACGGAAGACACACCCAAGAAGCTCGTGAAGCTCGTCCAGTTGCCTCGTGAAAAAGCACTTTTGGAACAACCATGACCTGGTTGACTGAGAATCTCCATAGACAAGTGTTTCTGAACCTTGGCAATTTGAAGATGGGTGGATTTCAACTCCCAGAATTCCCCAGCCAGCATGTTGAAGTTTGCCCATCTTCAAGTTGAGAACCACTGGTCAAAAGCAAACATATTGTTTCTCTGCTGTCGGGCACAATCACAGCGTCCTGACTTCCATCCTCTCTTCTGCTGTCTCTCTTCAGCCCTTAAAGGTTCATCTGGACTTTGGGAACAGCTGCCCAATCAGCTAAGAGTCTACCTTAGCCAACCTTCCCCAACTTGGCACCTTCCAAATGTGGGGAAGGTTGTCTTTGGTTGTTGCCAGACCTTCTGTGGCTGTCCCATTCTAACCCATCCTCCTTAGGGCTGGTCAGGCACACAGAAAAAAATGGAATCTTTTGACAGGTTGATAGTAAAAACTGAGAAGGATCTGAGAAGGTGAGTCAAGCTGAAATGGGTGATGGAAGTAAGTTTGGGTTACTTCTACCCATCCATCCTGGAATGAGTGGTCCACTTGCCCATCCGCACAACCTTGGAGAATTCTAGACTTGGACAAGGAAGACCGAGGCCATTTCATTCCATCGATGGTGTGCTAGAAGACCTCAAAGATGGTTTTTCAGGAGGCAACTGGACTTCCTTGTTTTTTCTTTGAAGACCTTTTGCTTCTTAACCCAAGAAGCTTCTTGGATGAGAAGCAAAAGGTCTTCAAAGGAAAAACAAGAACGCCCAGTGGCCTCGTGAAGAAGCATCTTTGGGACCACTGTGACCTGGATGACTTGAGAACCTCCATCGAGAAGATCTTTGAAAGACAGCTACACGGCTTCTTCTGAAGAACTTCTAGGAAGCCAAGCCACCTTTCCTAAATAGGTGTCTCCTAGAACATGTACGTAGGATTAAGGTTGCTGTTTAGCAGCCACCCCTGGACTTACGACCAACCTTTACACCTGCCCCACGTGTTGCAGTACTTTGGGTTGTGAATGCTGTCATATGGTCCATTTCATCACCTGGCTTCTTTGGTGTACTTCCACAGCTGCTGGAGTGGATTCAGCGCACCATCCCTTGGCTGGAGAACCGGGTTCCCCAGAAGACCATGCAAGAGATGCAGCAGAAGCTGGAGGACTTCCGGGACTACCGGCGGGTACACAAGCCCCCCAAGGTGCAGGAGAAGTGCCAGCTGGAGATCAACTTCAACACCCTACAGACCAAACTGCGACTCAGCAACCGGCCGGCCTTCATGCCCTCCGAAGGGAGAATGGTCTCGGTGAGTACCAGGTGCTCCTCGACGTAACGGCCCACACCGGAGCCCCAGATTTCTCTTGCTAAGCAAGCTCAGTGGATTTTGCCCCATTTTTCGACCTTTCTTGCCAGATATTAAGGAAATTGTTTTAGTTAGTAAATTAGTTCAGTGACGTTAGTAAGTGAATTTGGTTTCCCCATGGACTCTGCAAAAGGGGATCACATTATTATTATTATTATTATTATTATTTATTGAATTTATATACCGCCCTATCTCCCTTAACGGGACTCAGGGCGGTGAACAGGCGATAATAAAAACCACGATAAATATACGCAAGTTTCTGTTCTAAAATCAAATTAAATAACAGGCCTGCTCTAAAAGTACCCCATGCAAAACCCCCACTAAAACATAATCAAACTACGCCAGGGACGCTGCCACCATCATAAATATGAGTGGATTTTGATCATGTGACCAGCGGGAGGCTGCAACGGTCGTAAGTGCGAAAAACGGTCCTAAATCCCTGTTTTTCAGTGCCGTTGTAACTTCAAACAGTCACTAAACAGACTGTTGTAAGTTGAGTACTACCTAGATCCTCTAGGTCAGTGTTTCTCAACCTGGGCAACGTTAAGATGTGTGTGGACGTCAACTCCCAGAATTCCCCAGCCAGCCATTGTGGCTGGCTGGGGAATTCTGGGAGTTGAAGTCCACACACTTGAAAGTTGTCCCGGTTGAGAAACGCTGACTTATTCCACCCGTCTGGTAAACTCGAAAGATTAGTTTTCCTCGCCGTGCACATGTATACATAATCCAAACTAGATTGTTATTTCTCTGTGTGATATAACATAGGTGAGTATATGCATAATTCTGTATTCCTTTATTCATTTATTTTTGTTGTATTTATGTAATGTATATTGGAGGCGTCGCCTCTTTTGAGAGCCGTATGCAATGAAATTTCATTTTAATGTATGCCGATTAGTGTACATTCGAAGTGACAATAATGTTATCATTCTATTATTCTAAGACCTTAAGGGTGACATCTTTAAGTAAGCAGGGCGGGGGCCCCCGGTTGAATCCTTAAAATGGGGAAACCGTGAAAGACCGTCTCGCTTCAGAGTTTGGGAGACTTGGTGTTTTGTTTTACCTGCGCCCCCAAATCCTCCCGCCAGGATATCAACAACGGCTGGCAGCACTTGGAACAGGCCGAGAAAGGCTTTGAAGAGTGGCAGCTGAACGAAATCCGAAGGCTGGAGAGACTGGATCACTTGGCTTTGAAGTTCCGGCAGAAGGCGTCGATCCACGAGGCCTGGACCGAAGGTGAGAGCAACTCTTAAAATAGGTGGGCTTCAATTCCCAGAATTCTCCAGCCAGCTTTGCTGGGAGTTGAAGTCCACCCGTCTTAAAACATGCCAAGGTTGAGAAACACCCACTTAGTAGACCCTTAACCGTGCCTGTGGTTTGGCCCTGACCATCTGCCCTAACCAGGTGTCCAGATCCAAAGAGTTTGCTTGTGTTAGATGAGACATTTGAGAGGATCTCTGAGCCGAGGGATTTTATGAGAGACAGGACTGACCCACACTCCCACCCTGTCTACATGAAAGTTTCCCACGCCTGGCTACCTCTTCCTTGGGTGGTCTTTCTATGACCAATACAATCCCCTGGAAAAAGGAGACTTTGGGAGGTACTTTGTAGGCCTTCCACAAATCTGAGGAAGTTCTCCAGAAGTCTGCAGGCCCAAGGAACTCCTTGGCCTGGCCTTCCACGGGAAGCCACCTCGCCTCTTTCTGAAGGTAGGAGTGGGGTCAGTGACCACTCCAGGACCCAGAACATGTTCGAGTTGTTTACCTTCCTTTGTCACAGCCCTATTCTTAACACAGCCCAGGGTGGACAAAAGGTTATCAGCCTCCTTGCAGCTTCCTGTTGGGCCGCTGTGAGTGAGGAATCCATTTCTTTTCTCTTTTAACAACAAGAGAGCACCAGCCCCCTCCCTCTGTGGCTTCATCCATCAGACTAGGCAGTTGCCGTGGAAGTTAGAGGGTGTCTTTGAGCAGTTCTGGGGGGGAGAGAGAGAGAGATGGAGGGAGGACAGGGCTCTCCTTTGGATGCTGGAAGTGCCAACTTTTCAGATACTGCCTTGGCTGCAGACGAGAGTGGATAGGCGGTGCCGGGGAGAGCCTCAACTCTGCTTTTAATGGCATCCTGGATTGCACCACCGTTCAATTCATGCTTGTTTCTGATTTTCTCCACGTGCTTGGGACCACAGTGATGACTTTGGCAGAGGGTAGAATGGGTGGCAGGCTAGCAGTTGCTTGTTTCAGATGGCACAGATTAATGGTCTCTTTTAAAGCAATGTTTCAATAATAATAATAATAATAATAATAATAATAATAATAATACCATTGGTATTGACAAATTCGCTATTAGTCAATTGCAAAAGGCGGCCTTACTAGGAACTGCTTCCATCCTGCGACGATATCTGTAATACCATCAAACATCCACATCTGCCTATCCCAGGTCCTGGGTAAGGACTCGATAGGTAGACAAAATGCCAAATCCAGTCTGAACATCTGGCTGACTGTGCAATGATCAATAATAATAATAATGATGATGATGATGATGATCCATAACAACAACAACAACAACAACAACAACAACAACAACAATAATAATAATAATAATAATAATAATAATAATAATAATAATAATAATAATAATAATAATAATAATATAAAAAATAAATAAAGTTGGAAGGGACCTTGGAGGTCATCTAGTCCAACCCCCTGCTCAGGCAGGAAACCCTATACCATTTCAGACAAATGGCTGTCCAGTCTCTTCTTAAAAACTTCCAGTGTTGGAGCATTCACTGCTTCTGGAGGCAGGTTGTTCCACTGGTTAATTGTTCTAACTGTCAGGAAGTTTCTCCTTAGTTCCAGGTTGCTTCTCTCCTTGATCAGTTTCCATCCGTTGCTTCTTGTCCTGCCTTCAGGCGCTTTGAAGAATAGCTTGACTCCCTCTTCTTTGGGGCAGCCCCTGAGATACTGGAACACTGCTATCATGTCCCCCCTCGTCCTTCTCTTCATTAAACTAGACATACCCAATTCCAGCAACCGTTCCTTGTATGTTTTAGCCTCCAGTCCCCTAATCATCTTTCTTGCTCTTCTCTGCACTCTTTCTAGAGTCTCCACGTCTTTTTTACAGCGTGGTGACCAAAACTGGATGCCGTATTCCAAGCGTGGCCTCACCAAGGCATTCTCAACCTTGTCGATCTTAAGACGGGTGCAGAAATTTAAGAATTGAAGTCCACCCATCTTCAACTTGCCAAGGTTGAGACAGACCGCTTTAAAAAAGGCCCCATCTTCATCCCCTGTCTGGTCCTGGTTAGTCCTGAGAGATTCTAGGTTTCCTCACTAACTTGCGAAAGCTGCACAGGAGAATTCCAGAAATCACAATCCTCCTCTCTCCCCCCCCCCCAGTTTTGCGCAGTTTAATACGGCGCATAAGAAAGGGGTTTCCTGCTCCGATGTTCATGGTTCAAGTCTCGCCCCAGCCAGCCTCTTTTGGAGGGGGGTCTCTCGTCTGAAGTTGCACGCAGCCAGATGGAGACTCCCGTCCCTGTCTGCACCGTGGGGGCTTTTTGCTTGTCTGGATCTCTCCTGGCTGGCAGCCAAGGCCAGATTTTCCAAGCCGAGCGTGTCCCGGAGAACAGCTGATTGGAACAGAGGAGCATTTTCAAGCATCCAACAGCTTCTCAGCTCTTAAGCCAAATAGTTGTTCAATTAATGGAGAAACTCCAGCAATATGGAAGTGGGCTTGCGAGGGGGCCCGGCCCTTGGCTGAAGCCAGGGGACAAAGTGGGGGGGGCAGAGGGGAGTTATGCCAGCAGCAAGTAAATCTCAACCGTCGGGGGAACCGAGGCCCAGGGGATAGAGTTAGTTCTTGACTTACGACGGCAGCTGAGCCCAAAGTTTGTGTTGCTAAGCGAGACATTTCTTCAGACAGTTTTGTCCCATTTGACGGCTTTCCTTGCCACGTTTGTTAAACAAATCACTGCTGTTGTTAAATGAGTCACCCGGTTGTTAAGTGAGTCTGACTTCCCCCGTTGATTTTGCTCATGAGAAGGTCGCGTGACCCCGACACCCTGCAACCGTCGTAAATCTGAGTCGGTTGCTAAGCGTCTGGATTTTGATCCTGTGCCCATGGGGAGGCTGTGACGGTCGCAAGTGTGAACCACGGTCGTAAGTCGCCCGTTTTCAGTGCCGCGGTGACTTCGAACAGCCGCTAAATGAACTGTTGTAAGTCAAGGACTTCCTGCACGTGGGCATGCAGGCCCCACTGCAGCTAGCAGTTCCTGCACAGGTGTGTGTGTGTGTGTGTGTGTCCCAAATGCACTCCTGGCGTCCAATGAGGGATCCATCCGTTTCGTGGTCATTCAAAGTTACCGCAGCACTGAAAAGAGTGGTTGACGACCGATCCTCACACTTACGACCACCACGGCATCTCCACGATTCACGCGATTGTGATTCGGCATGCATTTATGACGGCTGCAGCCCTCCCGGGTCACGCGATTGTCCGACAAACCAGGTGTAAACGGGGGAATTTGCTGGATTTGCTTAATGACCGCAGTCCCCCCCAAAAATGGACATAAAATCAGGCTCGACTTGTTTAACAACCGCATTGCTTAGTTAGCGAAAGTTCTGGCTCCAGTTGTGGCTGAAGTGGAGGACTGCCTGAATTCACCAGGGCTCATTCCACACCTCTGGAAACCTGGGAAGGGGAAACAGGTCCTGGAGATGTGCACCCCGCAAGGAGCTGGGCTCGCCTGGGGCTCTGCCGGGGTACCCCGAATCAGCTGCCCTTGTGGAAAAGGCGGAATGCTCACATTTTGCACCCGCTGCCCTGTTTATCTGGTTGGTTGCCTCAAATGTTGGGCGCTTGGCCCCCCTCTCTTCCTGACCTCCTTGTGTTGGGCTCCCCAGGAAAGGAGGCCATGCTGAAGCAGAAGGACTACGAGACGGCCACGCTGTCCGACATCAAGGCCCTGATCAGGAAGCACGAGGCCTTTGAGAGCGACCTGGCAGCTCACCAAGACCGCGTGGAACAGATCGCGGCCATCGCTCAGGAGCTCAAGTACGTAAGGCCTTGCTGTATTGTTCTGCGGGACTTTTTGGTGGGGTATGTGTGTGTGTGTGCGCAAGGGGCTGTCATCCAGATAGGTCCCAAGGTTTTCTCCTGCTCCAAAGGCAGCATTGAGGTGCCAAATGGATTGATTGTGTGCCATCAAGTCAAGATGGACTCTTAATGACCAGCTGGATGGACCTTTCCCACTTATGCGCTGGCCTGGTCCTTCAGCAAATTCAGTTGTGCCCCTCTGGGGTTGTCCACCTTGCTGCTGGTTCTCCTCCTCCTCCTCCTCCTCCTCCTCCTCTCTCAACAGATGGACTTGTCAAAGGATTGACCCCAATCCTGCTCATTATGTAAATTATCCCCTGCATTAAAACCCGCCTGTTTCAAATTGCCAATGGAGCAGGATGCCTGCTCTCCATCACGGGGAGAAAACTTTATCATAAATCTGAACACCAGCTTGGGGAACCCCCTTTCCTTCCCTTCCCTTTCCTTTATCTTTCCTTTCCTTCCTTCCTTCTTTCCTCCCTTCCTTCCTTCCTTCCTTCCTCCCTTCCTCCTTTCCTCTCCTCCTTTCCTTTTGTTTCCTTTCCCCTTCCTTCTTTCCTTCTTTCCTTCCTTCCTCCTTTTCTCTCCTCTTCTTTCCTTTCCTTTCCTTTCCTTTCCTTTATCTTTCCTTTCCTTCCTTCTTTCCTCCTTTCCTCTCCTCTCCTTTCCTTTCGTTTCCTTTCCCCTTCCTTCCTTCTTTCCTCCCTCCCTTCCTTCCTTCCTCCTCTCCTTTCCTTTCGTTTCTTCCCCTTCCTTCCTTCCTTCCTTCCTTCCTTCCTTCCTTCCTCCCTCCCTCCCTCCCTCCTTTCCTCCCTCCTCTCCTTTCCTTTTGTTTCTTCCCCTTCCTTCCTTCCTTCCTTCCTCCCTCCTTTCCTCCCTCCTCTCCTTTCCTCTTTCCTTTCCTTTCCCTGTCCTTCCTTCTTTCCTCCCTCCCTTCCTCCTCTCCTTTCCTTTTTCCTTTCCTTTCCTTTCCCCTTCCTTCTTTCCTCCCTCCCTTCCTCCTCTCCTCTCCTTTCCTTCCCTTCCTTCCCTTCCTCCTTTCCTTTCCTTTCCCCTCCATAAACCCACTCTCTTATAGCGCTGATGATTCTTCCAAGTTGGGTAGTGAAGCATCTGCAAGACAACAACCCAGAAAAGCACCCAGGACCCCGCAGTCCTCCTCCTCCTCCTCCTCCTGAGTCCAGATTCCTTCTGATTCCTCCTGAACCAGGCCTCTAAAAACGGGGCTGTAAAAATTCTTTGCTGCGGAGCACTTGAAGCCGTAAAATTCCCCTGCATCCTGTTAAAAAAAAAAAACTTGCCTTGGCAACCTCCGAGCCTTTTAAAAGGCTTCCCTGCCAACCTCTCTCTCTCTGTGTGTGTGTGTGATTTGGACCGTCTTGCAGCAAGACACAAAGAGACGTTGTAAGGTATTTCTGGCAAGTTCAAAATAGCAGCCCTCCTTCCCCTCCCCTTGCAGCTCTCCCCCCCCCCCACATCTCTCTTTTAAGATCCTTTTCCAAACAGCCTCCTTGACTCCCCTCTGAAGTCAGCTAGGATCACCTCTCTCTTTTTTTGGGAATATAAGCTCCTGAAAGGGTGTTTTCTCCCCCCCCTTCCTCTCTTCGCCCCCCACCCCGTATTGCACAGTGCCCCCATTGTTCCCCATCCCTCCTCCCTTTGTGTGTGTTACCAGAATGCGGTTCTTGTCAGAGTTTACAGCAAACTCTTCCTGCTGCCCCCACCTTGGATAAACTCACACGCCATTAGTATACACACAGGCCAGAAACTGAGCGTGCCCTGAATGGGGGGGGGGTGTCCTTATTTGGGGAGGGGGGGGCTGAGAGGTGGCAGAGAACTTGGAAAGCCTGATTGTGTGTGGCCTGCGGCGTGACTTCACGCATAGCCCTCTGCCTCTTTACATAAACACCACTTAGGCACATTCATCCCAGGATGCTGCTTGCCAATATTTTGAAGCCTGGGGAGGGGCTGAGGGGGGGGGGAATCCTTAATTCTTTATCTGCCGTCGTCGTCGGAGAAACTCTTGGGAATGGAGGCTGGTCACAGAGGCTTTCTTTCCAGCCCAGTTCTCTTTTCCTGAATTTCTCATGTTCCTTGGGTCACACACACACATACACACCCTCCAGATTCCTCCCCGGTTGTTTGGCTTGGCCAGTGGCTGGATGCTGTTTCCTTTCTGGTCCTTAAAGCAACATGCCATGTTTGTGAGGCCGGCTTGGCGCCCGCATTCCGAAGGGGCTTTGGCAGCTGTGCGGAATTACTCACCGGCCCAGGCGGTCTCCGGGTGCCCTCTTGTCGCCGAACACGGGAAGTGCAAACCTCAGGAAAAGCCGGAAGAATTCGGTGGCCGTGGAGGAGAAGAGAGGGCATCTTAAGCCAGACATTTGAACGTTTCTTGACTTACCCAGCAGTTCTTGACTTAACGACCGCAATGGAGCCATCGTGGTCGTAAAGTGGGTCAGGTTAGGGGGATTTGAGGAGCCTTTTTGTGGCGGCGGTTAAGCAAATCGTCGCGATCGTTAAGCGAGCCGGTCGTTTGCTATGGGCACCGTTTTGTCAAGTGCAAGTTTTCAGCGAAGCCCTCGTAGAAATGCGGTCACACGGCTGCAGGGCCACCGCAAACAGCCGGAAACGTGTCTTGTGTTGGTCACGTGACCACAGGGAGGTGACAGTTGGAACTTAAGAAATTGGGTTGTAAGTAGGTCCAATTGTCATTTGAACCGTCTTTAAGTGACCGGTTGCAAGTCAAGGACTGCCTGTAGTTATGTAATGTATACGCTGTCGGATTAGCTAGATCAGCGGTTCTCAACCTATGGGTCGCGACCCCATTTGGGGTCGATCGACCATTTCACGGGGGTCGCCAAGCAAGGCTGTCCGCCATTTTTTCCCCCCTTTTCCGGCGGGTGCCTTACCTCCCTTGGGCTGGGCCAGCTGGTGGTCGGCCTGCTCCGTCTCTGCCGCTTGCCAGCTACTCCTCGGCCGGCGCAGGGGGTGGAACCACGCATGTGCGGTGCTCCCGGGCAGGGAAAGTCCTCGACTTACGACCGGTTGGGTAGTCCTCGACGTACGACCGGTTTAGTCCTCGACTTACGACCGGTTTAGTCCTTGACTTACGACCGGTTGGGGGTTGCGGCATTAAAAAGGTTGAGAACCACTGAGCTAGATTCTCAGTGGCTTACAGCAACATAACACACCGTTGACCCATTCATGGTTTAAAAAAAACAACGTACATTTACATAAATTAAGTTTGGTAGGGTGATAACCCGGAGAGACAAAATTGTGGCCCAAACGAGAGGACCGTTTCCTGGTTACCTGCCCACCCTCCAATGCCCTCCTTTTTCTCTGCCCCCACAGCGAGCTGGATTATTACGACTCCCCCAGTGTCAACGCCCGGTGCCAAAAGATCTGTGATCAGTGGGACTCTCTGGGAACTTTGACCCACACACGGAGGGAAGCGCTGGAGGTGAGCTGGAACCTGCCCTGCGAGAGGCAAGGGGAGCGGGTGCGGTGTAAGGTTGACCTAATCATGTCGCCCGTCTCTTTTTACGAAGAAAACAGAGAAGCAGCTGGAGACCATTGACCAGCTCCACCTGGAATACGCCAAGCGAGCCGCGCCCTTCAACAACTGGATGGAAAGTGCAATGGAGGACCTCCAGGACATGTTCATTGTCCACACCATAGAGGAGATAGAGGTACAAGGCTGCCCATTGAGTTTTGCTAGCCTCTCTATGGTACAGGGATCTGGAAGGATCTACTCTGGCTTCTGCTGAGGGAGGGAGAGAGAGAGAGAGAGAGAGAGAGAGAGAGAGAGAGAATATGAGAGAGAAACAGAAACAGAAAGAAAGAGAAAGAGAGAGAAAGAAAGAGAGAAAAAGAGAGAATATGAGAGAGAGAAACAGAATGAAAGAGAGAATAAGAGAGAATATGAGAGAGAGAAACAGAGAATGAAAGAGAGAGAGAGAATGAAAGAGAGAATAAGAGAGAATAAGAGAGAAACAGAGAAACAATGAAAGAGAGAGAGAGAGAGAGAGAGACAGAATGAAAGAGAATATGAGAGAGAGAAACAGAAACAATGAAAGAGAGAGGGAGGGAGAGAGAGAGACAGAATGAAAGAGAGAATAAGAATATGAGAGAGAAACAGAAACAGAGAATGAAAGAGAGAATGAAAGAATAAGAGAATATGAGAGAGAAACAGAAACAGAATGAAAGAGAGAGAGAGAATGAAAGAGAGAATAAGAGAGAATATGAGAGAGAAACAGAAACAGAGAGAATGAAAGAGAGAGAGAGAGAGAATAAGAGAATATGAGAGAGAAACAGAAACAGAGAGAATGAAAGAGAGAGAGAGAATGAAAGAGAATAAGAGAATATGAGAGAGAAGCAGAAACAGAGAGAGAATGAAAGAGGGAGAGGGAGGGAGAGAGAGAGAGACATAATGAAAGAGAATAAGAGAATATGAGAGAGAGAAACAAACAGAATGAAAGAGCGAGAGAGAATGAAAGAGAATAAGAGAATATGAGAGAGAAACAGAATGAAAGAGAGAGAGAGAGAATGAAAGAGAATAAGAGAGAATATGAGAGAGAAACAGAGAGAATGAAAGAGAGAGAGAGAGAGAATAAGAGAATATGAGAGAGAGAAACAGAGAGAGAATGAAAGAGAGAGGGAGAGGGAGAGAGGAGCGATGCTTGGGAGATTAGCCAACATGTCTGCTGTCTGGTCCAATGTGTCATCCAGTTTAATTAGTTTAATTAGCAAAGAAAGAGTCCTGGTTCATTTCTTTTTCCAAGACTGTACTGAGAACAAAGCAGTTACAGATCAGAGCAGGCAGAATAGGTTGGCTTAGCCCAAAAACGATGCAATTAACTTTCCCTTTTCCCCTACCCATCCCCCTGTTCTCCGTCAATGTCCAATTAAAAGTTCTCAGGTTGTTTTGGAAACGGGACCCCGTGTTTGCTGACCTTGTGCTTTGATTGGTGCTCCTCATAGTCGGGGCCTGCTTCCCAACACCACCACCCCTTCAACTCCCCCCCACCCACATTCCAATCTCTCCCCCTCCCGCCGTTGCAAATGTCAGGCTGGCAAGATGCAATTTTGAAGCAAGCAGAGAATGGTAGCCACGACACAATTCCCAGCCTAGCTTCCTAAAATTAAAAATCTGCTAAAATTTGTCTCATAGAGGCTGGGGCCGAAATGATCCTTCCTTGCCCATCTTGACTTGGAATGTGGTTTTGTTCCAGGGCTTGATTGCTGCCCACGACCAGTTCAAATCCACGTTGCCTGATGCCGACCGAGAACGAGAAGCCATCCTGGACATCCAGAGCGAAGCGCAGAAGATCGCAGACTACAACAACATAAAACTCTCTGGGAACAATCCCTACACTTCAGTCACGCCTCAGATCATCAACTCCAAGTGGGAAAGGGTGGGTGTGCTTGCGCTTCCTGGACCGTCGGGTTTGCATGCTCAGTGGGCGGAGCTGAAGACGGAGCTTGCCCACCTTGGACTGCAACCTGAGGTCTCCCTCCCTGAGCTGGGGCAAGCTCAGGAATGTTGCCCTCATGGTGTCTCTCTTCCTTGGGGTCCGACAGGTCCAGCAGCTGGTACCCAAGAGGGACAGCGCCCTTCAGGATGAGCAGAGCAAGCAACAGTCCAATGAACGCTTGCGCCGGCAGTTCGCCAGTCAAGCCAACATCGTGGGGCCCTGGATCCAGACCAAGATGGAGGTGAGAAGCTTTGCCCAGGATTCTCCTTCGCCAGAGAACTGGGGGGAAACGGGGAGGCCAGAAAGATTGAGCTTGGGAGGGGGAGCCTAACCATTCAGATTTGAGTGAAGACTCACACCGGCCTAAACAGGTAGTCCTTGAGTTACAGCCATGAAGGAGTCTACCCATCATGGTTGTCACTCATGATGGTTGTCGGATGGATTTTACATAATCCGTAACCCCATAAACTCATGAAGGAAACTCATTGCCCACAAACACTGGTGGCACGGTCCTTCGTTGCTGCTGGGAGACCACCTGAGGTTCTGCTGGCAAGAGAAGCTGGATTGCCAACCCAGCTAAGGGCCCTGGTGGTCTCCCTTTTTGATGGGAGCCCTTCCAAGCACGTGTCAACCCCATCCATTGGCCTTCCCTTGACCAGGAAATCGGGCGCATCTCCATCGAGATGAACGGCACCCTGGAGGACCAGCTGAACCACCTCAAGCAATACGAGCTGAACATTGTTGAGTACAAACCCAACATCGACCTCTTGGAACAGCAGCACCAGCTCATCCAGGAGGCTCTGATCTTCGACAACAAGCACACTAACTACACCATGGAGGTGAGAACACAGCCAAGGGGGTCGATCTGTGGGGAGGTTTGGGTGGGTCGTCTTGATGGACGTCAGTAAGAGGAGGAACTTCCAATAAGTTTGCAATAGTGGTGAATATCTATGTTCTTCTGCTTATAAGGGCTTCGGGTGGGCGTGTCAAGGGAAGGTCTTGTGATGGGTCAGGTGATGGGGAGGTCGTGTCCGGTGAGGATCACTGGAAGGTGAAGTGCTGGTTGGTGTCACTTGACACACCCACACCTGATCCATCACAAGGCCTACTGACCACACAAAGCCTTTATAAGCAGAAAGACACAGACATCCCCTAAACCAGGGGTAGGCAACCTTGGCTCTTTTATGACTCGTGGACTTCAACTCCCAGAATTCCTGAGCCAGCCTGGCTCAGTATGGAAACCTCTCCCTTTCCCCTCAGCACGGCTGGCTCAGGAATTCTGGGAGTTGAAGTGCACAAGTCATAAAAGAGCCAAGGTTGACTACCCCGGCCTAAAACTCTGCTGAAGATAACAAAACGTTCAGAAACCAACCCACAAGCTCGGAGGACGAACCTCCACCCACTTCCAATAAGTGTCCAGGCCCTCACAGTTGCTTTTATTCTGTATGTCGTCCAGACTAGTGATGGGGTTGGGCTGAAATGTTAATACACAGCTAAGTACCAGGGAGATGTCGTGTTTGTGTGCACATGTGAACGTGCTCTCAGCAGGCCTTCTTTTTGTCTTCTCACCAGCTGAGTAGAGTCAACATTGACACCCTTGTTTGAAACGCGCTCGGGTGTTGTTTTCCGTTGTGGTTCTTTTAGCACGTGCGTGAGTTAAACAAGCAGATGCATGGCTAAAAATAACTTCCATTCAGACAAACATCCCGTGCCAGGAGAGAACGGTGTTGTTGTTGTTGTTAGTTGCGAAGTCGTGTCCGACCCATCGCGACCCCATGGACAACGTTCCTCCAGGCCGTCCTGTCCTCTACCATCTTCCGGAGTCCATTGAAGCTCACGCCTGCTGCTTCGGTGACTCCCTCCAGCCACCGCCTTCTCTGTCGTCCCCTTCTTCTCTTGCCCTCCATCTTTCCCAGCATTAGGCTCTTCTCCAGTGAGTCCTTCCTTCTCATTAGGTGGCCAAAGTACTTGAGTTTCAATTTCAGGATCTGGCCTTCTAAAGAGCAGTCGGGGTTGATCTCCTCTAGGACTGACCGGTTTGATCGCCTTGCAGTCCAGGGGACTCGCAGGAGTCTTCTCCAGCACCAGAGTTCAAAGGCCTCCATTCTTTGGCGCTCAGCCTTTCTTATGCTCCAACTTTCACAGCCATACATTGCAACTGGGAAAACCATGGCCTTGACTATGCACACTTTTGTTGGCAGGGTGATGTCTCTGCTTTTTAGTATGCTGTCTAGATTTGCCATAGGAGAGAACGGTGGAGTGATTTAAAAGAAAGTCAGACATAAGAACTTCTGGATGCTGCCTGGGCCAGTTGGGCGGCTGGTTGGGAATCAACGGGGAAGGACACATAAGGGCCGTCCGTTCTGGCTGGTGTTTTTTTTTAACCCTCTTCCTTTCACTTGCACGTCCAGCACATCCGGGTTGGAGGGGAACAGCTCCTCACTACCATTGCCCGGACCATCAACGAGGTGGAGAATCAGATCCTGACCCGAGATGCCAAAGGGATCAGCCAGGAGCAGATGCAAGAATTCCGGGCCTCCTTCAATCACTTCGACAAGGTAACCCCGAGTAGGAGAAGTGGGATAACCTCTCTTGTGTAGCAGGTTTCACTTTACACGTGTGAATGTCGCCACATGCCCTTCCTGCCTCTTGTTAAGTCCCGTGCTCCCTGAAGGGAAGCTGTGCCGTTGGGCGAGCTTTCTTACAAGTCTGATTCAGGGGTAGGACAGACAAGAGGGCGATGGTGCTGCCAACTGGGGGGTGCTTTAGGAAGTGGGCCTCTTACTGTAGGTTTTCAAAAATAGATTGGGCAGCCATTTGTCTGGGAGCAAGGGGTTGGACTAGAAGATCTCCAAGGTCCCTTCCAGTCCTATGATTTAGTCTACACCAGACATGTCAAACACAAGGCCCGGGGGCCGGATGCGGCCCGCGAAGTGGTTTCATGTGGCCCGCGAAGCCATCCTGGAAACAGTGAGGGAACGGCCCCCGCTGCCTTGGCCCTGGCCCAGGCCGGCCGGCCGGGAGCCAATGTACAATTTTGTGGTGGCCATCTATGCTGAAAGGCATTCAGTCTTAGCTCCACAAGGCCGTCTGGAAACAGCGAGGAACCAGCCCCTGCCACGTCGGCCCAGCCCCCTGGGTGCATGCTGGGGAGGTGTCACCCTTTGTGAGGAATGAAGAAATGGACCATGCCTTGGCGCTTGCCCCGGTCTCACCCCCCTTCTGCCAGAGACCCTCAGATCTGTCCCACTCCTGCCCAGGCCCCCACAGGCACCCTTGATGGGAACGATGTAAAGCTGGCTATGCCCACCCAGCAGGCCACACCCACTCTATCCACGCCCACCCCATAGGCCGCACCCACCCTGGCCACACACCCCCAGGCCCCCCCAAGGGCAACCGCAATGCTGATGCGGCCCTCAATGAAATGGAGTTTGACACCCCTGGTCTACACCAAGGATGTTACTGAGGTGTTGGTTTATTTTTACTCCTAGATGCTACTAGTTATTATCTTAATTCGGTCGCATAGATCCTGTCTTTAAAAAAGGAAGCCCAACTTGACACGGTCAGGATCATGCTAGCCTGGATTGGGATGGTAATCTGGGTTTTCTTAGTCCAAGTCTAAGATTCCCTGTAGCAACCTCGATCTACTTTGCTGGTATGAAATGACAGCCAGTCTAAAACCTGTTACTAACCCTCCTTCTCCTGGTCCCCTAACCAGGATCCTTTGGGGTCAAGCAGTGCTAGGGCCATCCCATGACATTTTGCCTTTGCTTGTCACCTAAAAAGAGGTCAGGGTGAGCTCGATGTAGCCCCACCATGTTCCCCGGCCCAAGGGTTGGGGTGCAGATTGGGTTGCCCTGGCCCAGACTGTGGCCCTGCAGTTCCAAGGCATTGGGTTGCCACCAGCAGGAGGTGGTCTGCCCAACTTAAGCAAGGATGGAAGGTAACTTTGCCAGCCCTGGTTGGCCTTTCCTTCCTCCCATCTCTACCTACTGTGGGGAGACACTTCAGAGCAGGGGTAGGCAACGTTGGCTCTTTTATGACTCGTGGACTTCAACTCCCAGAATTCCTGAGCCAGCTATGCTGGCTCAGGAATTCTGGGAGTTGAAGTCCACGAGTCATAAAAGCCAACGTTGCCTACCCCTGTCCTAGAGCCTTCCACTTCCTGTCTGGGCTAAGAGTCCTAAGCTGGTTTGGATCTCCCCCCCCCCAACAGCCAGCCTTGAACTAACGGCGTGTCTTTTCCCCTCTCTCGCCTTCACGGGGGGCCTCCCTGCCACCACACCCTTTCCTCGACGGGCGTGTCTTCGTGCCCCGTGCCCCTTCCTACCCGCGGCCTGGTGGTAGGACCACGGCGGCTCCCTGGGACCCGAAGAGTTCAAGGCCTGTCTCATCAGCTTGGGATACGATGTGGAGAATGACAGACAGGTACCCGTCGCCCGTGAATCGCGCCGCCCACAGTGACCATTGCAATTAACCGATCTCCTTTCTCTCTTCCTTCACCACGTTCTCTTCCCCCTTCCCTCTGACCATCGTGCTGGTGTCTGGTGTCTGGTCCCTTGGACTGCTCCTGCCCCGCCCCTCGTGCTGACCCCCACCCCACCCCAAATACTTTCCGACTGACTGTTCTCTTTCTGCGTCTTCTCCTCCTCCTCCTCCTGTGGGGTCGATGCTTTTTTTTTAATCGTTGACCTCGGCATGCTTTATCCATCTCTGCTCGCCCACCACCTCTCTTCCTTCCTTTGTCCCGTCTGTCCTCCCTCCTTCCCGCCCGCCTGCCCTTCCTTTCTGTTGGCTGCTTGGAATAGAAGCGCACGGGGAGCATGGATGCCGACGACTACAGAGCCCTCCTTATCTCCACGGGATACAGCCTGGTACGCCCTCTGCTTTCGCCTTTCGCTTGGCTTTCTCGCTGCTCTGACGCTGCTGCTGCTGCTCCGGCACTTCTCTCTGCCCTTCTTGGCGAGGGCCTCCAGGCCGGGCCTGGGATGTCACACGTAGGGGCAAGGGAGAGGAGGGGAAATCGTGCATACTCGGGGAGTGGGGAAGGGAGGGAGGACACAAGAACGAGGAAACACCGAGTTACGCCCACACTGAGCTGCATTGCTTAAGCCAGTGTTTTTCAAACTTGGCGACTTTGAAGAGGTGTGGACGTCAACGCCCAGAATCCCCCCAGCCAGCAGGGCCGTGACACAGAAGAGCTGGGGAATTCTGCGGGTTGAAGTCCACACCTTTTAACCTTGCCAACTAGGGTGAACTTTCAAGAGTTTGTCCTCGGGGCGCCCGTTGTGTGTGTAGAGTCCTTCAAAAGTGGACCTGGGGGGGGGGTTGGTTTCCGCCCTCCTTGAGGAGAACTGAGTCTTGTTCTTCTCCCGACCGCCCCTTCATCAGGGCGATGCAGAGTTCAACCGGATCATGAGTGTCGTGGACCCCAACAACAGCGGTGTGGTGACTTTCCAAGCCTTCATCGACTTCATGTCCCGGGAAACCACCGACACAGACACGGCTGACCAGGTTATCGCTTCCTTCAAAGTTCTGGCTGGAGACAAGGTGAGCCGAAGGACTTTGTCGTCTGTAGAATTTGGCCAGGGATGTGGGGTTTCCCAGAAATGGGGGAAAGCTAGCTAGGGGCAGGCCCATTGATCCTGGGGGGTGGGTGGAGGAGCCCTCCCATTGCGCTCCGGAAGCTTCCCAGGACTGGCTAGCCAGGTTGGGTTGGCATCACAGCGGCCTCTTCTCTCCCCCACTCAGAACTACATCATGGCAGAGGAACTGCGGCGAGAGCTGCCTCCCGACCAGGCGGAATACTGCATTGCCCGCATGGCACCTTACCAGGGCCCCGACGCCATTCCCGGGGCCCTCGACTACAAGTCCTTCTCAACGGCGCTGTACGGCGAGAGCGATCTGTGAGGATGTGGTGGCGGCGGCAAGTGCCGGCACTTCTTAGGAAGGGAGGAGGGGACGCCCATCCTGTTGCCTTCCACCCCGTATTTTCGTTTTTTTTTCCTCTCTTTCCTCTCTGTCTCTTCCTCTCACTTGCGCACACCCACACCACCGATAGGACTACTCTTCTCTTCTTCTCCCACGCTACTTCTTTTCTCTGAAGACAAGAAGATGCCTCCTCTCGTTTTTTTCTTTTTTCATTTTTTTTTTAAATTGTGACTTCTACAAGCACGGTTACCTATGCAACAAACATGGTTGTTTTTTTTCTCCCCCCCCCCCTTCGGCAAGGACACCCCCTCCCTCCCAAGAGGGACTCAGCAGCCCTCTTGATCATTGCATTGTGTTGCTGTGACAGGCAGGAAGAATCATGGCGTCCCACCAGAGTGCCAGGTCCAGCAAACAGGCATCCAGACACAGTTTGGGGAAGGGGCTCGTTCAACATGGATCCCTTTGTATAGGGGGTTATATATATTTGTTTCTTATCACGTTCCAAAAGTAGGGGAAAGCTTTAAAGTCTCTGTTGTCCCACCCACCCACCCACCCCGGCTTCGTTTCCTTTGTTTTTAATTTATGTAGCTGGTAGGCAGGAACTCGGCGTAAAGAGTGCTGGGGCGTGGAGAGTAGGGTGATCCAGCGGGCACCGTAATCCACTTTGGATGTGTGTGTGTGTTTTGATGCAGAACAGGATCCTGGCCCCTTCCCCACTTAGGTTAGGCACTTCCTGGAGTGCAATCACCTTCCTTTGCCGCCGTCGTCAAACCCATTGCCCACTTTTAATTTAGCAACGCCAAAGTGACAGGACCCCTGCCCTGCCGGGTTCACTGTGGTTCAGCACAGCGGGGAGGCACAATTGCTAGACCTGGGTAGGGGGTCTCTCCGTCCCACCGGCCAACGATGACTCCTTGACCCCAACCCACCTTGTTGAAATCCATCCCAAGGTGGGCGGGTGCTTCTAACGTTCTGCCTTAGAAGAGGTGGGCTCTCTTGGATCCTGTCTCAAATTATTTGGGTGGGGGGCATTTCTGGGTGCAAATGCTCACCCCTGACCACCACCACCACCACCCCAAATCTCTCTCTCTCTCTTTCTACTGTCTTTTTGACTCTTCTTGGGTCCAAGAGGCAAAACAAGCCAGAATTTGCTTGCGAGCTGGCCTCAGGTGTCCCATTTTTGCACATTCTCTTTCACACACACACCCCAGCCACCCCATTGTGGGGCAGTGACCAAGATAAGGGAATATTGACCTATGGAACATCCATCCTTACTTTTTGGAGGGGGGAATTCTTAAGGGGGTGTATTAAAAAGGGGAAGCTTTTGGCTTGGTTTGTCAGCCTGGCTGGGACCACGAAGGAAGCCCACACAATGTCAGGTTTGCAAAACGGGGCGTGAAAGAAAGGCAGCCCACTTTGCATCAGAAGTTCTGTGAAACCGCCCAGCTGTTCTTATTTTTGTGGCTGGAGGGCGGCATGGGACCAAGTCTTCCTTCCTTCCTTCCTTTTCCTCTTCGCTCTGAATAACTCTTTTTCGTTGCTCCACCCTCTTAGTTCTACTTGTAATTTCCTCATCAATGACGCAGGGTTTTCTGAGGACCAAATTCAAATGAAAGAGAACCCTGCGAATCCGAATTAATTTTTATTTTTTTTTAAAAAAAAAGAGAGACACAGCAAGGGGTTGCAATTTAACAACATCCAGATGGTTATTATTATTAAATATAAATATATATATTCCTCTAGCATTGTATATTGTTAATTGATGGGGAGGGCATTGTTTTCTGTCCCTTTCCCACCCACCCACTCACCCCTATTTTCATCATGTAGTTAAAAGAGTTACAGCTGCCTGTAGCACCAGAAACTTAACATTTCCACACTGTTTTGGGGGTGGGGTGGGGGGGGAGGTAAGAGGGCATCCTTTCGGTTTTGTTTCTCTCTTCTTTTTTTTTTTGCCATTGGGAAAAGTTTAATTACTTATTTTATTGCAGTTGCTACAAAGATCTGTCTACCAAGAGTAAAGCCTTGACATAATAAGGAGTAAACCAGGTTATTATGTCTGCCTCTCCTGGCCATCAAATCTGTTCTAAAACTTCCACACTTTTCTGAAGGAGCAGCTCTCCTTGCTCTTGGGAAACCAGACAATAAAATATAATATTTTTAAGGGCGACTTCTAGTGTTGTTTTTTCCCCTACTCACCGCCTTCTCCGTGATACCCCCCCCCCCAAACTGTTACGGCTGCTTTTTGCTCACGTTAAGGAAGCTAATTAAGTAGAGTCCAGCTTAGCCCAGATTGATCCACTTTCCAAATTGTGGTCAGGGAATGCTGACCCTGGCGTTGGTTTTCTAAAGTTGTGCCCCCAACCTGGCTTAGTAAGCTGCTTTGATCTGAAGCTTAGGGAATCAACAGAGAAGTGGTCCTGGGTAGACAGCATCCCTAGTGAAGGGAAGCCTACCACCTCCCACCATCAGCAGATTTTACTACAGATAATCCTCAATTTACGACCGTAGTTGAGCCTGAAGTTACGGTCAAAAGTCAAGGCATTAATGGGACAGGCCTTGATTTTTTGCAGTGGTTCAGCAGTCCAAAACAGTTCATCCCAGGTGACTGGTAGGATAAATGGCCATGTGTAATGAGTGGGTTTATTTTGTAATCCTGCCTGAACATCTGTTCCCCTTTGGAGAACTTTATGCAATAATACATTGTGCTGAAGGTTTGTTTGCTTTTTTTAAATAAAAGCGGCATTCATTCGTTCAATAAATAATTGGAGAAGGAAGCTGCTATATATGCGCTAGAAAAGACTTGAGACTCCATTTAAAAAAAAAAAAAAAGCCACAAGGATTTTCTGTAGATTAAGGGACCGGGCTGGGAAATGTTTCTCAAAATCTCCCTAATTAAGTATACGTGCATGACAATTTGTCCTCCACTAATAGCATCTTTTTTGTCCTGGCATGACCCATAAACCAGTTTGACCAGAAATAGTTTCAGGGACCAATTCAATTTGGACTTAGGTAGGTGGCTGAATCAGAAATAACCAGCAGTGTTTTATTGTTTATTCACTCCCTGTCCTTTTCTAGCGGTATTTTTCTGAAATAAGTTTGATATAGTAAAAGCTTACAGGGAAAAATCCATTTATAAACGTTTCTCAGTAAAGTTTTGCTTCCCGGGTTCATCTTTGGCCTAGAATGTCTTCTGAGTTTGAGAAAAATGGTACAATGTGGAGAACTTTAATCAACTTTGACTCTAATCCCAAAGAAATGCAGGATCTGGTAGTCTTCCACAATTCCTTCACCAGCGTGGCTGCCAAACCGAAGGAGTGGTTGTGTTCATATATGTAAGAGAATTATTGTTTTTTTATGATCAATTTGACAGGAGCCCCAAATTTAATTCGATGTTTCTCAGGGTGGATGAGGAAGAACAAGTTCAGGTGACAGAAAATTGAAGCTGTGCCTGTTTTATGTGTGTCACCTTGACTTTTCTGACCACACCCTTTGGACACTCCTGAACAAGGCCTGAAGGCTGCAGTAGATCCAGAAAATCCAAACGATGTTTATTTTTGCAGTGCCAAACAAAAGCAGTGACAATAACTGTTTCCTTTAATTCACCAGGCATAAGACCCACCCATGATATGCTGTCTATGAGATTTACGGTGCCACCTCAGAATGACAGCCGGATAGCCCTTGATGTTGGCCACCAAATAAACTCCATAAAATAGCCTGAAGGCATGAAATCTTCCTCTTGTCAGTCTTCACCAAACCTAGGATTCCTGGTTCCACTGTTCCTCTCCCAACTGAAGACCACCTTCTCCAGCTTGATGTCCCCGTCCATTCCCAGGAAACGGACGGCCGTGGGTGAAAGGCGATGGTCAAATTCGGAAAGCAAAATGTCATTCTCCATTATCTGGTTAAAAAAAAAAAGCAAAGTTAAATCTCCAATTTTATCAAGAGTATGATAGGAGTATGATCGCGCAGAGGTTTTATAATTTGTTCTGGGCTTCGGAGTTAAGCAAGGTCAGGCCATGTTGCAGGCCTGTGTAAGACCAACTGGAAACTCTTGCTAAGAAAACAACTGTAGTTCTAGTTCACAAGTTCTCCTCCTTCATGTCTGAAATTAGAAGAGGCAGAAGATATTTCCACCCAGAGTTTCCATGCATCTTATTATGTTTGTTGGCCACGAAGGAAGTCCTTCATTCCTGTATTCACAATCCCTTTTCAAAACCACACAAGCTAAGATCCGAGCTCTATAAATTACGTTTTGCCTTAAAAAAAGTAGTAACTGGTCTTCACCCAGGATTAGAACTGGTGGTCTTCCGAAAAGTGATGCAAGTTTGTAATCTGGCCCAGCTTTGGAGACACAGCTGTATTTGCTAGCCAAGGTGAACTTGAAGTGAAGTGAGAATTATGACACCTGTAACCTGGTGCCTTCTAGATAGGCTCACGTTTGCCGGCCAGGTTAGCCAAAACATCTGGATGACACTAGATTGGAGAAGGCTCTCCTACCGAATCCCAATTTTTCTTGATTATCCTCACCCTAAATGTTTATGCTAAAATCCCAAAGGATTTTGACTTCCAATATAGCTGGGACCCCCCGGTCTATACTTCTTGCGCAACCCTGTATTTAGACAAGCGCAGGGCAACCCTGCCACCCAGTTCATTGTATCACCTTGTAACCTTTGCTGGTGACGATGAAAGAAAGCTTGAATCTTTGGCCTTGCTGGAGGTGAGTTGCCATCTGGATCTCTTTCCCCCATTGTTGATTTACAAAGCTGTTCAGAGTCAGGATGGGGCTGGTGGAAGAAGCTGGGGTCCTCTCGAAGTGGAGTTTGAATTTCAGGGGGATGTTGGCCCCATTGAACTGCCCATAAGCAAATTCCACGTGAAATCTGGAGAAGAACGTCAAGAGTCTGCTTGATGTTTTGCCTTGTTTCCCTTCCCTTCCTTGACCTTTTTCAATCTAGGACAGTGTTTCTCCACCTTGGCCACTTGAAGATGTCAGGACTTCAACTCCCAGAATTCCCCAGCCAGCAGGGCTGGCTGGGGAATTCTGGGAATTGAAGTCCAGACATCTTCAAGTGGCCAAGGTGGAGAAACACTGATCTAGGAGAACCAACTGGCTTCCATAACCCCTCCCATCGATGTTCTCCTCACCGACCCATCACCACATCTTCCCACAACTCACTGGGGTAGGAAAGATGCATAATCAGAAACATTCCTGTTTGGGTCAACCCGACGCAAATATGCCAAGCTAGTCAGATGAGCTCCTCCCTGGCTGGGGAATTCTTGACGTTGGTCCACCTATCTTACAATGGCATGTTTGAGAAATACTCTTCTAACACCTGGCACTTGAGTTTTTAACAATGAATGGCCTTGTGAAATCTACAAGTTGCAGGGCGGATGGATTGAGAATGGAACTTTTCAAACGTACAAATTCCCTACTTCCCTAGAAAAAGTACAGAGAAGAGCAACAAAGATGATTAGGGGACTGGAGGCTAAAGCATATAAGGAACGGTTGCTGGAACTGGGGATGTCTAGTTTAACAAAGAGAAGGACGAGGGGGGACATGATAGCAGTCTTCCAGTATCTCAGGGGCTGCCCCAAAGAAGAGGGAGTCAAGCTATTCTCCAAGGTGCCTGGAGGCAGGACAAGAAGCAACGGATGGAAACTCATCAAGGAGAGAAGCAACCTAGAACTAAGGAGAAACTTCCTGACAGTGAGAACTATTAACCAGTGGAACAACCTGCCTCCAGAAGCGGTGAAGTTTTTAAGAAGAGACTGGACAGCCATTTGTCCAAAATGGTATAGGGTTTCCTGCCTGAGCAGGGGGTTGGACTAGATGACCTCCAAGGTCCCTTCCAACTTTATCATCATTATTATTATTACTTCCCTAAAGCCTGGGAGTTGGCTGCCCGTAACTGGATCAGTCAAAGACCAAGCAATTCCATTCACCCAGTTTGTTTTCATTTTGGTTAGCTTGAGGGGAGCTTAGAGTCAACTTGACTCCTGTGGCAAATTCACCATTCATTCCCCCAAATGTGGGAATTCAGTAGCCTATTAAAAGTGTTGTGTGAACTCAACCCAAGTAGTTGGTCCAATATGAAAGGGATTGGTGCTGAATTACCCTTTGCTTTGCTTCAGAATGAGGCCTTCCAGCATCACCCAGGAGTCCACATCCAAGCCCCATGGGACAGCCCGATTGTACGGCATTTGCTGCAGGAGAGAAAATGGAGGTGACTAGTGGTGCACAATGTTTCTAGTCCTCTTGAGGACAAAGAGGTGTGTTTACTACTGGTATTAGGCAGTTCAAACACCTCTGTAGCCAAAATTATTGGTCTGGGGCTTGAAAATATGGCTTCAAATTGTTGGGGACCAATCTACAAAAACCTCATGTAGCCTGAGAGACAAAAAAGCATGGATGGGTCTGTATTATCTTCAGCAGTTGCTATAATCTGCTAAACTCTTATACTCAGGTTAACTAAAATGGCTTTGTTCATATAATCTGCAATTTCCAAAGAAACTATTTTACGATTTAGCACAACTCCAAACCTCCATTTAGACTACTTTGTTAGGGAATCCTGCCAACCCTAATGAGGTTTGAGAAAACCATTAAGATGGGGTCCCCTCGCAATCATATACAACTAGTCCTCACTTAACCACCATTGGGAGTGGCAACTGTTGCTAAGCAACATGGTCACTAAGTGATACATACACGACCGTGATTTGTGATTGTACAGCCAGCTTCTCTGTTGACTACTTGTTGGAAGTCAGCTGCGATGTGTACAAACGGCAATTACATGACCATGAGAGGTTGTGATGGTCATAAGTGCAAGGACTCATTGAAAAGTTACATCTTCAGTGCCAGTCACTTTGAACTGTCACAAAGTAAAGCCCTCACTAAGCAAGCTCTGCCCCTAATGGATTATACTGATTTATGAAATGCTATGATAGATACGACAGGAGAATTGTATTATTGGGTTTTGTTATGTTGGTTGTTCTAATTTTTTGACTGCACCTGAAAACGTAAGCAGGTCACAACGAAGTGGCATCTGAGCTTGAGCAAAGAAATAGATAAATCAAGTTCTGCCTGAATTTAATTGAACAGGAATCTGGTCTATTCACGTCGCTGACCTTTGTTTATGCCATCCTGGAATTTTCCTGTTGCTTTTGCTGTGAGTGACTTCTTGGTGGCTTCCAACCTGTCGGACGAGTTTCAGGGATTTTTGACTCTTGCATTGAAATCTCGTATGTAGTAAGAAAAATTTCTCTTAAGCCACCATTTCCTACATTTCCGCTGTTGCAGAACCTTCATGTTAAGAGAGTGTCATCCCACCTCCAGAGGTGGTGTAAAAATGAGTCAGATGTCTTTCAAAAGAGGTCATGGTTGGTTCCTTTTTCTAAACTGCAAGACCTTCAACCACGTTTACTGAGCAACAGCGGAGATCCTAAAGAGAAGCTGCGACCTTTTTGACCCAGTTACCCTAAAATAGGGTATGACTCGTGGACTTCAACTCCCAGAATTCCATGAGTCATAAAAGAGCCAAGGTTGCCTACCCCTGCCCTAAAACCTCTTGATGAATCATCCCCCCACAAACCCCAAATCGTCCTTTTCACTTTTTTTTTTCCTGTTTACAAAGGTAAACATGAGCGTGTAACAGCGTGCCAAGTGCTGGTACATGGCAGTCGGGATGAGTGTGAACATAAGTGTGGTCGTAGTGGGCACAATCACACCCACGTTTGAGGCCCCACAAGAAGCTGCTAGAGAGCAGGGGTCTTCAAACTTGGCCCTTTGATGACTTGTGGACTTCAACTCCCAGAATTCCTCAGCCAGGCACGCTGGCTGAGGAATTCTGGGAGTTGAAGTCCACAAGTCATCAAAGGGCCACGTTTGAAGACCCCTCCCAGAATTCCTCAGCCAGGTACGCTGGCTGAGGAATTCTGGGAGTTGAAGTCCACAAGTCATCAAAGGGCCACGTTTGAAGACCCCTCCCAGAATTCCTCAGCCAGGTACGCTGGCTGAGGAATTCTGGGAGTTGAAGTCCACAAGTCATCAAAGGGCCAAGTTTGAAGACCCCTGTGCTAGATAGAGTGAGGGAGCGAGGAAAATCTGCCCGGAGACGGAGAAAGCCCGCCAAAACTCAGGTAAATAGATTTGACCAATCACAGGCCGCTGACGTCATCTACAAGCTGTATAAATACCGGTTGTGAGGGAATGCGGCGCTTGCTTCTTTTGAGGCTTTGGGTCTGAGGGGCGGTTTTTGGTCTCCGTGCAGAAATGGAGTTCGAAATAAGATTCCCAGCCATTTTTATGCGATTATCGGCTCAGGAACCGGCCAGCTTTACAACCGCCTAAAGCAGTGTTTCTCAACCTTGACAATTTTAAGGCATGTTGACTTCAACTCCCAGAATTCCACAGCCAGCAATGCTGGCTGTGGAATTCTGGGAGTTGAAGTCCACATGCCTTAAAATTGTCAAGGTTGAGAAACACTGGCCTAAAGCTTTCGAACAGAGTTTCCTCACTAAGGGGTGTGGACTTCAACTCCCCGGCAGCAAGGGTGAGAAACTCCGCTTCAGAAATATCATTTATTTACGTGTCCTTTTTTTTTTGAGGGACCGCCCGTCTCCCTCATAGGGCGACTCTGGACGCTGACTGTGGAGCTTCCCTTGGAGTTTCCAACCTGCAGCTGAAAGGGATGCTGGGAAACGTAGTCCTGGAATGCAGCCGCGGCTGGCAGGACTTCCACTCGCCCGAGAGGACAAACCGGTCTCGGAACCGGTTGGCAGATGCCTTGCAGTCGTCCTTTTGGTGGAAAAGAGGCCAGAATGTGGCAAACCATGATGCCCCCCAAGGCCAGAGGAATGCAGAGTTCAGCCCAAAAGTGGGTTGCCAGGTGTCCACTATTTGAGTGGACAGTCCACTTTTTTCACATTCTGTTCACTAATTTTTTTCACAAAATAGTGGACATTTTTTTATTCAAAAGCTTTATGATGAAATGGTACGTAATCTAAAGCTGTACAGTCTACTTTTTTTTTCTACTACTTAACCCCCCCCCCTCCGCTTGTCCGCTATTTTTTGGAAGCAGACCTGGCAACCCTAGGCCCAAACCTCTATCCTCCCAATGCAAAGTCAGGCCACTGACCACTGGGTCCTGCCAAGCTACCCCTGGCTGGCCTGTCCCCGAATGGATGGGATTTTGGACCTTTTGCAGCCCCCTGAATGGTCAAGAGGTGAGAGAAAAGGGATCGTCCACACCTCTGTTTCAAATTCCCCGAATCATGGGTTTGATCTGGTTTTGCAGCTCTCTTTTTAAAGCAGTGGTTCTCAACCTGTGGGTCGGGACCCCATTTGGGGTCGATCGACCATTTCATGGGGGTTGCCAAGCAAGGCTGTCCGCCATTTTTTTTGTCCGCCATTTTTTTCCCCCTTTTCCGGCGGGTGCCTTACCTCCCTTGGGCTGGGCCAGCTGGTGGTCGGCCTGCTCCGTCTCTGCCGCTTGCCAGCTACGCCTCGGCCGGCACAGGGGGCAGAACCACGCATGCGCGGCGCTCCCGGGCAGGGAAAGTCCTCGACTTACGACCGGTTGGGTAGTCCTCGACTTACGACCGGTTTAGTCCTCGACGTACGACCGGTTTAGTCCTCGACTTACGACCGGTTGGGGTCGCGGCATTAAAAAGATTGAGAACCACTGTTTTAAAGCATCCTGCTCCCCCTTTGACCTAGAGGCCCCCAGGTACCCCCAGCGAGTGGCTCTCCATCTTTGCTCCAGGTGGAGGTTGAGGGATGTAAAGTGTACATGGGGACACAATTGGCCCCAAGGACAGTTTCTGCCTGTCCAGGTTGGGCTAGGAAATGTTTGGAAAATGTGAATGTTTAGGGGGAAAAAATGCACTTCCCTCCTTTCTAGCAAATACAAGATGGGGATAATGGCCTTGAAATCCAAGTTCTGTGGAGATCAGATGAGAAGCTACCATGGGTCTGTTTCTTGGACCAGCTTCAGGCTTATGCTAAGGTGAGATTGGTGTTATCCTGGTTTATTGAAAAGTTGATGAGTTCTATAACCCATCATGGAGTCTGATCATGTCCACCCCACACGGCCTCTGCATCTCCCGGTCAGAGGGTGGTCCATAAAGTCAAGATGCAACTGTAAACGTAAAAGGAAAAGCCATACTTTTTTTAAATATATATATATGCATTGCATATTGTTTCAATTGTACCATTGTAGCCGCCATCTTGACTTTTTGGACCATCCCCTGAAGATATCCCTGAACACAGGTGACATCCCTGTCCCTCTCCCTGCCTCCCCAGCAAGGCAACATACAAACTGAAACTGCTCCATTAATCGTAACGGTTGTGCTACTTACAAAAGTCTCGAATTCTACTGCCATCTCTACGGCGCTGGGCTGGAGGCAGGCTGGCGGTGCAGCCTGGCCTCTTTATAGATGTCCGGGACTACCCCAAGCATCTTCCCTGCAGCAGCCCTGCCCACGCCCATCAGGGCACGCTGAGTCAGGCTTCCCCAGAAGGGTGACATCACGCCTGCAGCTGTGACCTGATGCCCACAAGGCAACTTCACTGGCTCTGCAGCTCCTGATGGAGAAAAACCAAAGGTTGGGCAATGAAGGAAACTTCAAATCAGAGACACTCAGGGTGGGAGGGAGGGCAATGCAGGCTGAGCCAGGTGGTCCAGTCCTGCGAAGAGACAGGGCAGAAGCCGCTGCAGGGCACCCTTTTAGTCTGGTGTGGAAAGAGCAGTAGATTCTTAACAGAGTAGTTTGGCTGTGGTTTTTTCCCCCTGCTAGGCTTGGAAATGAGATTTTGACTCGGGGAAACTGGTTTTTCTGCTTCCAGTGCCAACGGGATTTGATTGTCCTTGGAATATTAGGGATCTTAATTTTTTGTTTCTGCATGATGATTTTGGCGATGTTGGGGAGATTGTAGACCCACAGACAGGTTATGGAAGCTGGAACCATTGAAGCCTCACCCCTTTTAGAGATGCCTCATGTGAAAAGGGTGAGGCTTCGATCCTATAGTAGCAGGCATCATTTTGACTTTTATGACCAAACCTGGCAGATGGCACTAGCTTGAAGGGAGGTTTTATGCTAATCAAAAGGAATCCTAGAAGGATTAGATCCAAGTCATTTCAGGAGAGCCATTTTTTTTATCACCAGGCTATGATCCCTGGATGATTCATAGCATAGGTTTATTGACGAGTGTTTAGCAATCAGGTAGAAGACAATGTTTTTATTCATGAGCGAGAAGTTCAAAACTTACCAGGCCATAGGTTGCACAGCCTTGTGAAAGTAACTCTTTGAAATATGAGGGTCATCTTCAGCAGAAGAACATCCTTCCCACCCTGATTCTGTAGTAGACGAAATTCCTACATGATGTGCATGCGCTTGTGAAATAATGAAATGCAAAGAATTGCTTGATTCAGAAACATGGGTCAGTAGTTTTCCTAGTTAAACCTGTGTCATTTGCTTCAGGCAGTCTATTAGGGCTTGAATGCCCTCTGGCAGAAAGAGACATTAACCCGGCTATGAATGTTTCTTTTATGATCACTAATGTCTTTCTTCAAAGACTCAATCACGAATCAGTTGCATGTGCACCACAGCATTCCCCATGTGCACCACAGCATTCCCCATACGTGGTTTGCAGAGATCTGAGCAAATCTCTCCTCTAGTCATAAACTTCTCTGGTTGGTCCCAGCGGGCAAACGGGCTTTTCTGATTAGGGGAGTATAATTCTGACCGTTTTCAGAAAAGTAGACAAATATTGTATTACAGCAGTTGCTCTTTGGAGTTGCTGGATCTGGACAAACTCTAGTTATGCTATTACTGCTATAAACAGGATTCTTTTATGCTGAGTATTTTTGAATCTAAATGTGCTTTTGAGTTGTACATAAATATCAGTAACTTAGTTGTGAATTCACTGGGTATTTTCAAGTCAGCTCCTATCTTTCCCCATGAAAGACAATTTATCAATTAAAAATATTTACTATCAGAAAGTAGGTGATAGACATCAGCAAAAGCTTTAAGTTTATATTCTTTAGTAAAAATCTTTAAGCCTTTAATCAGTGGTGATTCTCTAATTCTAGAAAGCAAGATTTCCAAAGAAAGTACAAATAATAATGGAGAAAGTGGACAACCTTGTCTGGTACCTTTTTGTATATCTATAAATTCTGTCAGGTCTCCATTAATAATTATTTGAGCAGATTGTTTTTGGTATATCGCTTTTATGGCTGTCTTAAATTGATTTCCAAAGTTCATATAATCCAATATTTTATTTAAAAACTGCCAGTCCAATTTGTCGAAGGCCTTCTCCGCATCTAAAAAAATAAAAGCCGATGGCATTTGATTATTCTTATCCAAATATTCCAATAAGTTCAAAATTTGTCTAATATTAGTTTGACTGCCTGTTTGCTAGCCCTGTTTGGTTCACTCTCGTGTGCTTCCCAAGGTGTGCCACAGAAGGGCGAGCTAGCTCTGCACCAGAAAGAAAGATGAGCGGCTTTCCTGCAGTGTTATCCAAGGCTCTCTTACAAACAGGCGTCGGCAACCGGGATGGTTCAGCACCAGCAGGATTCTAATCCCATGAAGTGCCAGCTCATCTCCCCATTGAAGTGGTACCTTTTTATCTACTTGTATATAACATCATTTTGAACTGCTAGGTGGGCAGAAGCTGAGGCGGGTGACGGGAATTCATCTCGCTACGCATTGCTAGGACTCAAATCAGATGTGTGGTCATCTTCCAGAATTCCCAATTGGGACTGGGGAAATTCTGGGAATGGGACTATACACATCTTGAAGTTGCCAAGTTTGAAAAACACTGTTATAGATAGAATAGATAACCGCCCATGGGTTGAGTTCACTCTAACCAAGGTTAAAACAAGATGTGTGAACGGAAATGCTGGTCTTTAACTGATCCAGTTGTGGGCATCCTAGGCTTTAGGGAAGTTGGGGATGTGTTTGACCTTTTGAAAAAAAAGTTCCATTCTCAATCCATCCACCCTGCAATTTGTAGATTATACAAAGCCATAAGATAAATCAGGAGAGGGAATCCACATCTTAAAATTTGCCAAATTTGAGAAACATTGTTCCTACACATCTGGAGGGTACCAACTTTCAAAAAATATGTTTTGTATCATCCACAAAACAAATTCAGGAGACAGAAAAGCAAGCCTGTTGCATTACTTGATCAAAATGCTTTATTGAAAATGCTGCTTAATAATTCTCAATTGTTCCTGAGTCTCTGATTCAGTAATTGATTGATTGACTGACTGATTGGAATTGAGTGATCAATTCAGCAGGATTCTAAGTGTACTGGCAGACTGAGAGACAGAGAAGAGGGGTCTGTGCTGCTACTGATCTCTTTCCCCCTCCCCCCCCGCCACGTTGCTTAGTACTTGATGTAGGAAAGGGTCACGTCTCCCTCAATCTCTAGGGTGCGGATGTGTTTGATAGGGACATAACGATGAGTGTAGTTGAAGAAGGGCTGGTCGTTAGCATAAAACTTGAATTCATGGTTGTCACAGTTGATTGAGAGCTGGGAAGAGAAGGAGGATGTTAACATGACCGAACTAGCACATCTGGATCACCTACACCAGGGGTCCCCAACCTTGGCAACTTTAAGACTTGTGGACTTCAATTCCCAGAATTCCTCAGCCAGTCTTAAAGTTGCCAAGGTTGAGGACCCCTGACCTACACAATCCACACCATCCATAGCTTGCATCAAATAAAAAAGCACCCCCTATACATAAGGGATAGGGACTTTAATTGGAGAGGAGTCACAACTGCCACTGTTTTCTACACACACAAACACACACTCTTTAAAACCCCAAGGGCAATGCGAAGGTAATTTTCAGAGCTATATACATTGGCATCGGACCCGGATACCTTCGAGACCGCCTCCTGCCGCAGATTACCTCCCATCGACCTGTACGCTCCCACAGAGTGGGTCTCCTCAGGGTGCCGTCGGCCAGACAGTGCCGGCTGGCGACCCCAAGGGGGAGGGCCTTCTCTGTGGGAGAACCCACCCTCTGGAACGAACTGCCCCCAGAGATCAGGGTCATCCCTGATCTCCCTTCCTTCCGCCGCGCCCTTAAGACTTGGTTATTCCAGCTTGCAGGACTGGCCTAGGGTAATTTTTAGAGGGGTTTTAATCATATTTTAATTGGACAATGTTTAAATATTTCTTTTAATTAATTTTAAATTTGTAATTGTTATTTATGTATTTTAATTGATTGTCAGCCGCCCTGAGTCCGCGAGGAGAAGGGCGGGATATAAATCCAAATATAATAATAATAATAATAATAATAATAAAGAGCTAAAAATGGCATTCTGGTGAGGCAATTCCACTCATCTCCACTAGAGGGGGCATTCCTTCCACCAGCCTTCCAAGCGTTCAGATTTCAAAGTTGTGCTAGCTGGGAATTATGGAAGATGGAGTCTTACACAATTGGAAGGCACCAGCTGGATCTTCTTTCCATTGCCTACCTGCCTGCCTTCTTGCTGACCTACCAGCCAAGGTCTTTGCTGGAATCCAGGGGTGTCAGCATAAGCCAGGTAAAATATTGCCAATCTGTCAATTGCAGAGCCATGGCAGCCATACTGACTTTTTTGACCTCCTCCCTGTGGACACCCCTCCCTGCTGAAATCAAAGCCAACTCACCTTAAAGTGCTGCCCAGGCTGAAAAGGGTTAAAGGTCAAGTTGCTTTCCTCGTTTCCCCAGCTACCTTGCAAAAAACTATTGCGTACTACGGCTTTCCACGGTTTCATGCGAAAGTTAATATGCAGAGCAAGTTCCTGGCCAGCCATAAAATTTATTTCAAACCTTGGAAAGAGAAAAAAAAAACCAGGCATCTCAGACTAGGTCTTTGGAGTAAATAAAAGGAAATCTGATTCCCCCCTGCCCCTTAATCCAATAGCAGCCTGCCAGATCCTTCCATGGATGAAGGCTAAAGGGGGAAAAAATAGCTCTTGTTCCTTTTTTCAAATATTATTTATTGGTAGACTGCTGCTGAATGTGTAAGTTCTACTTAGCATTTTAGGTATTTATTCGTTGCATTTACATCCTGCCACAGTTAAACCAACTCTCAATGAGTTATAAATTAGAGTTAGGCAAACACATATTAAGGAGCCCTGATGATGATGTCAGAATGCAGTATTGCAGGCAAACTCTGCCCACAGCCTGGAGTTCGATCCTGATGGTGCTCAAGGTTGACTCAGAATTCCCCAAACTCTTTAACTCATCAATCCTTCTATCAAATTTCTGATTCTCCACTTTGGGGACCCCAACCCTAAGCTAACAGCCCTTGCTTCTTGTGGCAGTGAGTTCCACAGACTGTGTTTATACAGAGCAGAATTTTAATTCCACTCCCCTTAATATCCTTGTCCTCTGGGCTGACTCTGCAGAAGTGTAGAGATGGGAGAGTCATAAAAAGAGATGAACTGGGAAAGGCCCTAACCAGTGGTGCTTTGCTATGACCCTGACTACAGAAAGGCACCTATGCCCAATGGTCACAATTCCATTCCTCTACCTGAATCCCAAATGAATGCAAAAAAAAAAAGACTTGAGACCTTTTAGCGTTTTGGGGAATAGAGCCTTGGACTGTGATGGTCCTGTTGGCTCCCAGACCTCCAGGAATGTCGCCTGTGTAGGGCATCGGCTGAAATAAATAAGAATCGAGGTTACATTTAACATTCTCCAGTCCAACCATGTGGCTCTCGCCCCTGCTAGTTGGGGGTCAAGGTAGTTGCAGTCCAGTAGGTCTTGGGGTGCCAAGTGGGAGACCCACAAGATGGGTGGGAGGCAGCTTGTAGGATCTTGTAGGGATTATTCCTGGGTGCCTTGGTGGTTACAAGCATCTCTTCCTTTAACCAGGCAACCAAGGCGTTGGCTGCATTCAAGTGGCTTGTTTGCTACCTGCAGGATGTGGTCAAAATATTCAAGATGGAAGCCTGGATGGAGCCAACAAAGCGGAGGCGATTGTTTTATGTGCAATGAACACAAAAAATAGGTGGGGTGGTGATATTGCTGGCGTGGCTGCTGTGTTGAGTTTTTAAATCACAGGCTGTGATAGACCCTGCATCACAAAAGACTGAGTTTATAGATGAAATCACCAATCTTGGTTCTATGAGCTGGTTTCCTGGTGCAATATATAGGTCTTTCTTTCTACTCTGTCCCATGTTGACCTAACAGCCTTCTTTCATCCCAACTTCTCTCCTTCAACTAGAGATTTTTTGAGTGATGGGGACATGTGGCAAAAGGGACTATAATTAGTTCCCTCCTTAACCACAAGGAAGCTAATTTTCTCTTAAATATCCCATTCATTGTTCTCTTTTTTTTCTTTCTTCCTTCCGTCTGATTGGTGAAGCACTTGGAAGATGACTTGTTAAAGTTTCCACTTTCTAGTTGTTGTTCACCATAAGCATGATCAAAGCCAAATACCAGGAAAAACTAGGTTCCTTGAATTCAACCTAAATGCACATACTCCCCTCATCCTGGTTTCTGTCCCACCCCAAAAATCTGGGTAAAGTAAGGAGAGATAGGCTGGGTTAGCAAGTCTGTTGGTACTTACTGGGTAGTAGATTGCAGGGTTCGTCATTATCTGGTGGGGGAGAAATCCAAACAGGCTGTTAACGATCCTGTGTTCTTCTCCTAAAACCACTAGCCCTGAATAACCTTGCCCTTTGCCTCCTTTTTTTTTCCTTTTGAGTATTTACAGAAAGATTTTGTGGTGGCCCATATTCAGGGGTCATCATAACATTTGAAAGAATAGGAAAACAACAATGGCTGATTTTGTGTGGAACATTCACCCAAGGTCAATTGAAATCTTTGCAGGTGGCTTTGTGCCACTTGTTCAACTGGGTTATTTTATCTGGGTTGGTTTTGGAGAGGTTGCCAATCACTCTATTGTGTGAATGGAGGAAACAGATGAAGTGCATTATGTTAACTTTGCGGTGCTCAAGTATGCCAGGAATTCTTTCGTGCTACAGAAGCAGAAAAAAGAACAGCGATGTCATGGCCCGGACTATGGACTCTGATTCTGAATCGGAGCTTGTCCAGATGATCCTGTGGCCTCAGGAGGGACCAAGCCACAGATCACATTAGGCTGATGAATCGCTGGCACCATCTGAGCTGCTAGATCTGCCAGGACCAGTAGAGTAAAATGAAGAACGTGCAGCTTTGTATGCCAAGACAACAGAGGACCCAGAGGGACAGCCATTCTTAGGGGTCAAGAAAGATGTACAAAAAGAACGACTAAAGGGGAAAAAGAGAAAGGGGCAACTTGGGGATTGAATCAACCCAAAATCTATTTCCAAAATGAGATCAAGGTCAGGTGGTGCCAACTTGTCAATAGCAAACACTTACTGTGTCCTCCATATTTGGTCCTGCCGTCACATTCAGAGACTGCAGCTCCAGGTCTCCATCAATTCTAATGATTTGCACACGTTGTGGTGGAAATCTGTGGCTGTAGTTGCAGAAGGGATTCCCGTTCACGAAGATCTGTTGGAGGGCAAAGCGGAAGGAATCATGTCTCATTTGGGATCATCCAATTTCTTTGCAGGAAAATCCTGTTTATTCTTGCCTCAAACGCATCCCAGCCCAAAGCGGAGCCAAGTGGCCATAGAGGGGGTCAGAAAGGTCAAAATAAGTACATATAAAAAGAGAGAGGCCTTTTATCTCATCGATACCTGTGTTTTCCCTCTGGACCAAAATATTTTCTCTTCAGCCACAGGTCATCCTCCTCTAGTGACTGTTTGCATTATGACAGTGATGAAATACTTTGCTGTGCAATACATTTTTGGTTCATTCCAAACAAATGGTGAATTTTGGGGGTTGGGGAGGGGAATGAAGAGGCCCCCGCAGCCCCAAAGGAGCCTCTGTCACGTGTACCAACCTGGTATTCGGCCTCATTGACAATGACGATGATCTCAACATGCTCGCCCTTTTGGAAGGGATTCTTGTGTATCTCTGCCTTTCCCCACCTGTGAGACTGAAACGTGTTGAGCACAAGATTCTCAAATTTAAAACGAGGGCTGAAGTGGAAAGGAATGTCAGCCCCTTTATGCTGGCAACAGGCGAAGTCCACTGAGAAGCTGGAGGAAAGAGAGGAAAAAAGAAGAGAAAAATGAAATGGGGAAGGTACAGGAATCTCACAGCTGAGTTTTGCTCCCACTTTTCCTTTGCCCTGAAGCTAGAATCTGTAGGATGCTGCTTTGTTGCTTTAAGGGAAGTTCCTAACCCTTATGGTTTCGTAGGACTTGGAAAAAGCAGGAAGTGGAACTCTCCGAAGAATTAAGGAAGGCCTTAATCTTGGCATAGAATTTGTATTATATAATGCTACTTTTAACAACATAACAATCCCATGACTATTATTTTGAATAAGGTAGCAACTTGCCCTTCCTGTGAGCCTCCAAAGGAACATTACCTGTCAGAGTCTTGGGGCACTGTGCCATTCACATATACAGACATCCCAGGACGGAGACCACCAAGGACAGGTTGATCATAAGGGAGAGCCTACGAGATACGAAAATAATGAACCCAACCAGTGACTTTATTGCAAAACCCAAGTTAACAAGTTTCTTGGTACTTACCAGGTGGTAGATTTCAGGTGAAGTGATCATCTGGTGGGAGAGAAATCCAAAGAGGCTGTTAACAATCCCAAGTTTTTCTCTCAAAATCCCTAGCCCTGGATGTCCTTGCCCTTTGCCCCTTTTTTCCCCTTTTGAGTATTTACAGGAAGATTTTGTGATGTCTCATATCCAGGGTTCAGCATCATACTCTAAAAGGATAGGAAGACAACTGTGTGGCTGAGTTTGTTGCAGCACATTCACCCAGGTCAGTTGAAGCCTTCATGGGTACCTTTATACCATTTGCTCAACTTGGTTACTTTTAACCTGGGTTGGTTTTAGAGAGGTAGCTTAGCCTGTTGCAAACCACTCTATTGTGTGAATGGAGGAAGCAGATTAAGTGTGTTATGTTAACCTTGTGGTGCTCAAATAAATTGTTCGGCCTCCTAGTTAACCGAACATCGCAGGAGAAACTCTCCAGCACCCGAACTCAGCTATTAATACACTATTGGGGATTGTCACCCTATTTTTGCAAAAACATAGAAAACTGTTGGCACCAAGCAAAAAATTACACAGTGGCCTTGGCCAAACTGTCTTTTACGGATGTTTCACAGAAAGTTGTCATCCCATTTCTCAGAGGCTGGAGAAAGTACACACAGCAGACTTCTTGTGAAGGGGGAGACTGGTTGCCATGTTCAGCCACTCCACACTCCCTGGTGTTCCTGTCTGGTAATAAGGATATATGGGCATTTTCTAAGCCATTTGCATTCTTTGAGTCATTGAGGCCACATGGAAGTTTATCTGTGTCCTCAATCGCTCTTTTGAAGATAGCAAAGTCCACATTTTGGACAGAGAGGACCGCTGGTTTGAAAGAGGGGCCAAAGAGGCCCTCTGTGTCAAAACTGAACAGCCCTCTTTCAACAGAGGGAGAGGGATACAATATCATCTATCTCCTGTCTCCAACACACTCTTTTCAGCAATTCCATGAAGGCTCTACATCCATTTGTACTACTCAGGTGACTCTGAGGACATTGATAAACCTCCCAAGTGGCCTCAAGAACTCTCTAAAAAAATGCAAATGACCAGCTGTCTGCAAGAAATATAAATCCTTCCATTCCCCACCATCCACTCAGCTGATGAGAAGCGAAATGTCTTCGAAGAAAGTCCACCTGCCTCTTGAAAAAAGCAGCTTTGAGACAACCAGGACCTGGATGATTGAGAATCTCCATAGACATTTGCCAAGGTTGAGAAACTCTGCCTTAAGGACATCTGCACGGTGCAGACCAGGCCTTGTGCTAGAGTAAATTTGCTCCCCGTGCCATTGCCGAGGTATCACTCGTGGATGGCTATTTTTGCTAAGCCACGTCAAATGAGGACTCAGAGAGGGAGGCCATTCTTAGGGGTCAAGAAAAGTGTACAAGAAGAGCAACTGGAGGGGAGAAAAAGACAGTGGCAGTTTGGGGATTTAAAAAACCCAGAATACATTTCCAAAGAAAGATCAAGGATCTAGAGGTGCCAACAGCAAAACACTTAACCGTCATTGATCCTGCCGTCACATTCAGAAACTGCAGCTCCAGGTCTCCATTAACCTTAATAACGTGCACACTTTGTGGTGGGATTCTGTGCCTGAAGCTGCAGAACAGCTTCCTGTTCACCAGGATCTGTCAGAGGGCAAAGCAGAAGAGATCAAGTCACGTTTGGGACCATCCATTTTCTTTGCAGAAAAAAAATCTCTTTGTTCTTGCCACGAACACATCCCAGCCCAAAGCGTAGCCCAGTGGCCATCGAGGGGGTCAAAAACGTCAAAATGAGTAAATGTAATAAGAGAGAGGCCTTTTTTTTCACCGATGACTATCTTTTTTCCCCCTGGACCAAAATATTTTCCTTTCAGTTACAGGTCATCCTGTAGTGAGGAAATATTAACTTAGCGATACAATACATTTGTGGTTCATTCCAGACAAATTGTCATGTGTCTGATTAACGAAACACTTAAAAGGACTTTCAGGCATATTTTTTCCTAAAAGCATTTATTAAGGTTACTTCCGGTTTCTTTTTCCCGGGCTATCCTTATTCTCCTCCCTTTTTCACTGTTGCCTGGTTTAACTATAAAAATACCAGACAGTTCTGCATATTGTCAGAGCAAGAATATACAGTATTTGCAGCGTTGACACAAATGGTGAATTCTGGGGGGAAATGAAGAGGCACCTGCAGTCCCAAAGGAGACTCTGTCACATGTACCAACCTGGTATCCGGCCTTAGTGACAATGAAGAGGACTTCGAAATGCTGGCCCTCTTGGAAGGGATTCTTGTGTTTCTCTTCCTGTCCCCAAGAGCCAGACTCAAATGTGTTGAGCACAAGAGTCTTCCTTTTAAAACGAGGGCTGAAGTGGAAGGGAATATCAGTCCCCTTATGCTGGGCACATGCAAAGTCCACATTAAAGTTCATCCAGGATCTGGAAGAGAGAGAGGAAAAAAGAAAAGGAAAATTAAATGGGGGGTACAGAAATCTCAGAGGAGAGTTCCCCCCCCACTTCTCCCTTGCTCTGAATCTATAATCTGTAGGAGTTTTTATTTTTTATTTTTGCTTTAAGACAAAACTCAAATTCCTAACCCGCATAGCTTAGTTGTAGTTGGAAGAAGCAGGAAGTGAAACTATCCAAAACATTTTAAAAGGCAGAATTTGGATTATACAACCTCTCCTTAACAACACAATACTCCTGTGACTATTACTTTAAGTAAGGTAGCATCTTGCCCTTCTCGTGAGCCCCCAAAGGACCGTTACCTGTAGGTGTTTCTGAGTACTGTGCCTTGCACATATACAGACATCCCAGGACGGAGACCACCAGGAACATGTTCATAGTAAGGGAGAGGCTGGAAGACAGAAAATGATGAGTGAAACCGATGAACCAGCCAACCTCAACCCATGACTTTTATCAGCCTTTCCAGGTGGCTTCTGAGTCAAACCAAGACCTCCTGAGAGGACCTCTGCTAAGGATTAATCCTTCCAACGTGGCAGGGGAAGGAAGGAAGGGGTGGAAGAAGCACCAGAACTGCAGCCACGGACCAGTTCTGCTTTAGTTCTATGGGTGATCAGTGGATTGAGCAAAACTGGCTGGATCCCGCAATCGTATCCAATCGCTCCATGCACTGGAGGAACTTCTAAGGAAAGGAGAAGCATTGCAAGTGCCAACTGGGTCAGGCTGGTGGAATCAAGAGAGCATTTGCGTTTTCCTCTGCATTTCTGGGGCTTTTATAGGAGATCCGTGTTTCATCTGTAGGTGGATTTGTGAAACGGCTTCCTTGCTGACAAAATTCACCACAGATCAGCAAACGCCATCATGCACATCTCATCCCCAGGGGGAATCTTCACCCCAATACGACTGTTGGATCTATTTTTTAAGGGATCGGTGATTGGAAAAGAAGGTTAAAAACAGGCCAAATATTTTGGTGCTTCCTGTTGTGATTATGCTTGGGGGGGAGTCTGAAGATGTTTTTGGGTTGAGGTGGAAGAATGATGTGAAGATTTCTTGTTTGGACAGAAGAATAGGAAAGAAAGCAATGGCAGAAAATAAATGAAAGCTACTTACCAACGTTCCTTCACCACCACCGCCATTCTACAGGGAAACAAAAGGTAATTGTTCTACTCCGATGTGGTTACACCCGTGACTTCTCAAACCGTGCCATGACCTCCATCTTCAGTATCTGACATATGAGTCCCTTCGTTCTCCAGATAAAAGCATGCATTCTTTCACATAACACAGAGTGATATTTACTAAGAGCACACATTTATATTAGCTGTTAGGAGAGACTTTCTTTTCAATATCCTTCCAAATTCACACATCCATAATGTGCACAGAGAAAAATGCTCGCATGTGGGCCCAACAAGAGGTTCTCTCTGATTCTTACGCTAATGTGAACCCTGAAAAATCCAATGCAGAGAACCAGGATGCCAACCTGAATTCAGAACCACAGATAGAGTTGAATGCCCAATCATTAAAAGACTAAAGTACTCAATTTTTTTTCAATCCCTTCATGAAGAAATGTGTTAATTAAAGAATGGGGACAACAAACTCAAAAAGATGCATACTCATTTCATCTGCAGGCATCCCAGCTGAAAAGCTGTTGCAACCCACAAAATTTAGCCTTACCTCCTGTGCGGACAGTGTAAAAGTCAAAGCAAAGATGAAAAGGAGACGCATCTCCTTTGTTGCTCTTCAGCTCTTTCTTCTAAGTGAGTTTATTCAGCTCCACTGGCACATTTTAACATCTTAATCCTTAGGCCTCATTGCCCAAACCCAATGCCTCTTTTGTTACTTTATTTACAAGGAAATGTTAAGCTTCCATTGCATCATGCACAATTCCATCTTCCATGCTCAGATTGAAGCTAAAAAGCAGCGCTTGTGTCTCTGCTCTCTGTGAAGTTATAGCTTCATACAGGTAACATATCTTTCTGTAATTCTTCCATTTCACCTCATTCTGTTCCCTATGGAGACTAAGTCTAGGCTCCCCTTGAAGAATATTTCTTCCAAAAGGAAAGGAATTTCACAGATCCCTATTTGTGCTTTGTTTCTTGTGCCAAATCCCTGATATTTTGATTCATCAACCTTCTCCAAATGGCTTTATGTAAGCGTGGTGCTCTTTCCATCATATAATTCTTTATCAGGGGTTAGCTCCCTTTTGCAAACAAGAAGTTAATCCCTTCTGAAACACTTCCAAAAGTAGCAAAAGACCTTTTGATGGAAAACAGTGTGTTGGCTTAATTGATTGGCTTCATGAAACACAAGGAAGCAACACAAAAGAGTATCTAATCCTGAGAACCCCGTAAAGATAAGAATGAGTCCTATGATGTGATTATATCTGTGGCAATCTGAGCCAACAGAGCACAAACAGTTCCCAAAATGACACTAAACCAGAATCCGAGCACTTCTTTAAAATGTACTACTTTGGAGCGGACAAGATGTAGTCATGGTACTTAACCTGCTTCCTTTTGTATATAAACAAGGTTAAAACAAGCTGTGTGAATAGATCTGGTCTTTCACTGATCCAGTTCTGGGCATCCTAGGCTTTAGGAAAGTAGGGAAATTGTTTTCCCCTTTTGGGATCAGGATCCAGTAAGGGGTTGGGATATCTGGAAGTTGAAATCCACATCTCTTAAATTTGCCAAGTTTGAGAAACGTTCTCACACATCCGGAGGGCACCAACTTAAAAAATGCTTTGTATTCATCTACAGATCAAATTCAGAAGGCAGAAAAGTAAGCCTGTTGCATTGCTTGATCAAGAAGCTTTATTGAAAATGCTGCTTAATATTCTCAATTGTTCTCAAGTCTCAGATGGATTGATTTACTGGAACTTGTAGACCACTCAAATTCAGCAGGATTCGAAGCTACTGGCAGACTGAGAGAGAAGAGGGAGTCTGCACCACTAGTAATCTCTTTCTCTCCCCCCCCATTGCTTAGTACTTGATGTAGGAAAGGGTCACATCTCCTTGGATATTCATAGTGCAGATGTGTCCAATAATGGCATAACGATGAGCAAAGTTGAACAGGTGGCGGCTATTGGTGTAAACCTTGAACTTGTGACTGTCACAGCAGATTGAGATCTGGGAAGAGGGGAAGGATATTAGTCTGGGAAATCAGCACATCTGGATCACCTTGGATCCTCCAAGCAGGGGGATCTGCCGTCCACGCCATCCACAGCTTGCCCCCAAATCAAACCGCATGGCCAATTCATAAAGGGTGGAGTTTCAGGGGGGAGGATTGCAACTGTTTTCTCCCCCTCCCAAAAAATCCCAAGGGCAAGGTAAGGACAATTTTCCAGGGGGGAGAGCTAAAAACATGGTTCTGAAAGGACTTCTGATGAGGCAATTCCACTCTTCTCCACTATAGGTTCAGATTTCAACTCCTGAAAGCTGTGCTGGCTGGGAATTATGGGGAATGGAGTCTTACATTTCTGCAAGGCACATGATGGGTCTTCTCTCCCCTCCCCACTGCCTGCCTGCTTGTCTTCTTGTCGGCCAATCAAAAGTAGGGGCAATAACATCCGTTGAATAGCTGTGGCTGCCATATTGACTTTTGTGATCTCCTTCCTGCTGGAATTGCCCAACTCACCTCAAAGTATTGCCCGAATTGGAAAGGGTTAAAGAGGAGATTGTTTTCCTCAGCTCCCCAGCTGCCATTAAGGCAAGAGTTGCGCACCACATATCTCCTTGGTTTCATGTGTGGATTAATGTGCAGAACGATATTCTGGTCAGCCATTAAATCGATTTCAAACCTTAGAAAGAGAGAAAAAAGAAGGCATTGAAGAGTAGACCTTAGAATAAATGAAAGGAAATTTGATTCTGCTCTGCCCCTTAATCCAGAAGCAGCCTGACAGATGCTCCATGGGTGAAAGTTAAAAGAAAAAAAAAACCCCGGCTCTTGTTCCTCTTTGTAAATATTATTTATCGGTAGACTATTGCTGAATGTTTATCTTCGATTTATCATTTTAGATATTTATTCATGATTTTTATGTTCTGCCACAATCAAACCAACTCTTAATGAGCGATAAATGAGACAAACACATATGAAAAAATGCATATTCAGCAGCAGTCCAGTAATGATGAGCATTCTTCTGATGAAGAAGAGCTGGTCCTGCTTAATGGACGGTTCAGGTCCTAATCCTTAGCCAGAGATCCCTAAACAATTCGTCAGTCCTTTCATGACATTTCAGATGTCCCCCTTTGGGGAACTCTCCCCTCAGCTAACAGCCCTTGTTTCTTCTTCTGGCAGTGAGTTCCACAGCCTACATGTGGAATTTGCTTCCATTCCCCTTAACCTCCTTGTTCTCTGGGCTGACCCTACGGACGTACAGAGGAGATGAGACAGTCAGAGAAAGGAGATCAACCAGGAAAGGTCTATGACAGGCCTTAACACTGGCATTTTGCTGTGCCAAATCCAAACTGGAGCCCTGCAAAAAAAGAGAGACCCCCAAACCTGCTAGCGTTCTTTGGAATAAAGCCTCGTATTGTGATGGTCCTCTTGGATGCCAGACCTCCAGGAATGTCGCCCGTGTAGGGCACCGGCTGAAATAGGCAAGAATCCAGGTTACACTTCGCGCCCCCTCCGCCGTGCAGCTCTTCTCCCTGCTAGCTGGGGGTTACGCTGGTTGCAGTCCAGTAGGTCTTCGGGTGCCAAACAGGAGACCCAAACCTTGGCAGGAGGCAACTTGTGAGATCTTGACTCGGATCTTATCTTTTCCTGCATTCCTTGTGGTTACAAGCATCACTGCCTTGGACCAGGAAAGTAATTTTTGGCCTCAAAAGTGAGACACCAGCTGAGTTCAAGCGTTTGTTTGCTCAGTAGGCTGTCTACAGGGTGTGTGTGTGTGTGTGTGTGTGTATGTCAAAATAGTCAAGATGGCAGTCTGGGCAGAACCACCAAAGCAATGTGCAACGAACACAAGAAATAGGGTTGGCATGTCTGCTGAATTTTATTTATCAAACCCCCGTGAAAGCCCCTGGCTTATGCATCACAACAGACTGAGTTTATAGATCAAATCATAAACCTTGGTTCTAAGAGCTGGTTTCTTTGTGCAGATTTTAACACGGGGGAAATGGACTAATGCTACCCCCCCCTTCTTAACCATAAAGAAGCTAATTTTCCATTAAATATTCTGAACTCTGTTGCTTCCCCCCCCCCCCTTCTGTGTGATTTTATAGGCTTGGTGAACCAAACCAGGTGAGACAGGCTGAGTTAGCAAATCTTTTGATACTTACTGGGTAGTAGAATGCAGAGCCTGTCAACACCTGGTGGGAGAGAAATCCAAAGAAGCTGTTACAAACTCCATGTTTTTCTCCCTAGCCTTGCATATCCTTGCCCACTGCCCTCTGCCCCCCTTTTTTTTGTGGTGTCCCGTATGTAGTTCACCCAAGATGATGTGTGTGTGTCTGAAGCCTGCAGTAGGAAAAGCAATTGAACTCAGCTCTTAAGACACAATTGAGTATCCTGAACCCCAATACCTATATTGACCCTATCCCTCCCCTACCCTTATAAAACTTAATAAAATATTGTTTTAAAAAAAGACACAATTGGGGATTGTTCCATTTGCTGTACAAAAATGTAGAAAGGTATTTGCATGAAGCCAAAAATTAGACTGTGGCCTTGTGCCAACTATCTTTTGTGGATGTTTCTCAGAAGCTTATCACTCCGTGTCTCAGAGTCGGGCTCTTCAGTGGAGAAAGCACATGGGACAGACTTCTGATCTTCTGACTGAAGAGGCAGGTTACCGCATTCAGCCATTGCAAAAATCCTGGTTGTTCCTGTTTGTTAATAAAGATGTGTGGGTGTCTGCTAAGCCATTCTGGAAGTTGAGACCCCACATCATAAAATTGCCAGGTTGAGAAACTCTGCTTTATAGGCATATTCAAGGGGAAGAGCAGGGCCTTGGCGTGGGGTAAATTTGCTCCTTGTGCAGTCTTTGGTCCTAGTCTAGCTGTAGGATTTATTTATTTATTTATTTATTTATTTGCTTGCATGCAGAATTGTAAGCCAAGATAACTGAGGACCAAAAGAGGCCACAATTCTTAAGGGTTAAGAAAAATGTACGAGAAGAATGACTGGAGGGAAGAAACAGAAAGCAACAGCGTGGGGATTGAACCAACTCAGTATTTATTCGTAAAAGGGGATCAAGGGTCAGGAGGTGCTGACTTGTTGGTAGCAAACACTTACTGTGATCTCCAATATTTGTCCTCCCATCATGGTCAGAGATTGCAACTCCAGGTTTTCTGGAAAGTTAATGAAGTTTACAAATTTGGGGGGGATTCTGTGCTTGTAGCTGCAGAAGGGGTTCCCGTTCACCAGGATCTGGCATTGGGCAAAGCAGAAGCAATCAAGTCTCAATTGGGATCATCCATTTTCTTTGCATGAAAAACCTGTTTGCCAGGAACACATCCCACCCCGAAGCTGAGCAGAGTAAGCAGAGTCATTGAGGGGATCAAAAGAGTTAAAATGAGTACATGTAAAAACTGAGAGTCCTTCATTCCACTGGCATCTATTTTCCCCCCCTGGACCAAAAGTTTTTCCATTCTGCAGCAGGTCATCCTCATTTAGTGACTGTTAGCAATTAGGACACTGATGAAATAGTAACTTTGCAACTAGTCCTGGCATTTACAACCTTCACAAGACTACAAAGCAAAGAAAAGCTGGTCTAATCTCATGTTTTTGACCCCATTAATGACTAAGTTGCTAGCCCCAATATCGCTGAACAAGGACTGCTTGCACATCACTTAAACCGTATCTGGAAGATATGACATTGAGAAAGTCAGTATTAAATACATTTGTGGTTCATTCCAGACAAATGGTGAATTCGGGGATTGGTGTTTGGGGGGGGAATGAAGAGGCCCCCGCAGTCCCAAAGGAGCCTCTGTCACATGTACCAACCTGGTATTCGGCCTCATTGACAATGAAGATAATCTCAAAATGCTTGCCCTTTTGGAAGGGATTCTTGTGTTCCTCTTCCTTTCCCCACCCTCCAGACCGATACCGGAATGTGTTGAGCACAACGCTCCCCTGACCAAAGCGAGGGTTGAAGTGGAAGAGAATGTGGGCCTCCACAAATTTGCCACAGGCAAAGTTCACCTTGAAACTGGAAGAGAGAGGGGGAAAGAGAAGAGGAATATTAAATGAGAGGTGCAGGAAACTTAGAATAGCGTTCTCAATGCCCCTTTCTCCTTTGCCCTGAAGAATAGAGAATCTATAGGAGGCTGGGTTTTTGCTTGAAGAGAAGAATCAAGTTCCTAGCCATCATGGCTTAGTTGGAGTTGGAAGAAGCAGGAAGTAGAACTATCCAAAGAATTAAGGAAGACTTTAATCTTGGCATAGAATTATTTAACCTTCCATTAACAACATGATACTCTTATCATTATGGTTTTGAGCAAGGTAGGTTCTCGCCCTTCCTGTGAGCCCCCAAAACACACATTACCTCTTGCCACGTTTGGGCACTTTGCCTTGCACATAGACAGACATCCCAGCATGGAGTCCACCAGGGACAGGCTGATGGTAAGGGAGAGTCTGGAAGATAGAAAATGATGAACCAATGACTTTATTGCAAAACACAACTTTGACCTTCAAACCAGCCAACTGCACCTGCAAGAAGAATGCCAGGAGAGGAGAAAGAGAAAGTGACAGCTTAGGAATTGAACTAACTCACAATCAATCGCCAAAGAGGGATCAAGGATCAGGAGGTGCCGACTTGTCAATAGCAAATACTTACCATCACTGACCCTCCAATCACGGTCAGAGATTGCAGTACCAGGTCTCCATCAATCTTGATGACCTGCACGTTTTGTGGGGGGATTCTGTGCCTATAGTTGCAGAATAACGCCCCATCCGCCAGGACCTGTCAGAGGGCAAAGCCAAAGGGATCAATGCTCAATTGGGATCATCCATTTTCTTTGCAATAAAAACCTGTTTATTGATTGATCTTTACTCCGTCAGCCCAAAGAAGCTTGCTCGGACTGCAGAGGGTGCCGCCGCCCCTCTGCAGTCAAATGAGGGCCTCTTCAACAGTAATCGCCCCTCTGGGGCGATTTTCAACTCGATCAAGGGTCTACCAGCGGAGGAAACTCGCAGGACTCTCTTCGCATGACTGCGGCGGCGCGACCCGGAACCTCCAGATCAAATGGTTTTCCCTTCAGTTGCAGGTCGTCCTTGTTTAGTGATTCTTTATAGTTAGGACAGTGATAAAATAATAACTTTGCGACCAATGCTTGCCTTCGCAGGACTGTAACGTAAAGAAAAGCTGAAGTTTGATCATAAACACGGTCACAGTTTCACTCAGCAACTGCATCAATTCATTGCTTGCGCTAGTTGGTACTAAATGAGAACTATTTGTACATCTCTTAAACTCTACTGGAAGATATGAATTGGGAAAGTTGGTATTAAATACATTTATGGTTTATTCCAGAGAAATGGTGAAGTTAGGGAGGCACCAGCAGTCCCAAAGAGCCTCGGTCAGGTGTACCAACCTGGTATCCAAAGTCATTGACAATGAAGACGACCTCAAAATGCTCGCCCTTCTGGAAGGGAAGTGTGTGTTTCTCTTCCTTTCTCCACCTGCCTGCCTGAAATGTGTTCAGCCCAACTGTCTCTGCATTAATATGAGACCAGAAGTGGAGGGGAACATCAGCCCCATTATGCTGGCCACAGGCAAAGTCCACCTGGAAGTTCACCCAGGTTCTGGAAGAGAGGGAGGAAGAGACAAGCGGAAAATTAAATGGGAAGTGCAGGAATCTCAGAGTAGAGTTCTGCCCCCTTCTTTTCCTTTGCCTTGAAGCTAGAATCTGTAGGATGCTAGTTTGTTGGTTTAAGTGAAGAATCAAGTTGGAGTTGGAAAAAGCAGGCACTGTCCAAAGAATTAAGGAAGGCTTTAATCTTGGCATGCAATTTGGATAGTATAATCTAGCCTTAACATAATAATCCTATGATTATTATTTTGAGGAAGGTAGCTTCTTGCCCTTACCTGTTGCTATCTTTGGGCACAAGGCCTTGCATATACACAGACATCCCAGGACGGAGTCCGCCACGGACAGGTTGATAATAAGGGAGAGTCTGGAAGACAGAAAGTGATGAACCAAATCAATGGCTTTGCTGCAAAACACAACTTTGATTTTGAGCCAGCCAACCACAAACCCCTGCCTTGTATCAGCCTTTCCATTTGGCTTCCAAGTCAAACCAAGACCTCCTGGGAGGACCTCTGCTAAGGATGGAAGGCTGAATCAATCTTGAGCCCCGTCAGGATCGAACTCCAGGCTGTGGGCAGAGTTAGTCTGCAATACTGCATTCTAAGCACTGCGCTACCCATAAGAGAATAGAAGATGGAAATGACATGACATGGACCAAGGAGGCAAAGCCAGGCCAACTACTAGAAACGGGCAACAACAAAGAAGTAATACGGCAAGGTTAGGATCTAATGAAGATGCTACTTTCCAGTAATCCACCTCTGCCAGCACTCCACATCATACACTAAAGGGGAATCAGAAGGAATCAGTTCTAATCTCATATGATAGCAATCATTACTTATAAT